CCTGGCCGTACTACCAGTAACAAGAAGCTACTAGGAACAAAGGGCATTGCTACCAGGAGCAAGGACGCTACTACCAGCGCAATGCTGCGCACCGCTTCTCTCACAGTGTTTTGGTACTGAGGCGATGCACGAACAGTTCATGCTGGAGTAGAGATGCCGCTTGGCATCGTGTCACGTAGGCAGTGCCGGCGTTTCGCCTGCGGACCGAAGCGATTGCTGCAGCATTCTTGCCGAAGCGCCCCGAGGTGGGGGACTGGTTCAGAGAAGCCTGAAAATTCTCAAAGTTACGGGTTGGGGCATTTTTCTGTTTACAATGAGGGTTTTGCCCTTGGAAATACGGTAAACCAACAGGCCATGTCTTCATAAACTCTAATGATTCTAATTTCTAATGCTTTTTTTTTGCCTGGAATTCCTGACCACTGTCAACTGTAGTAGTCAATTCTTTCCTGAAACGTCGAAATGGTGGGAACTCTGCAAAACCAAAGGTCGCATTTGGTGTCCCTGGGGCAGCCACATGGCAGGTGGGTGGAATGATGATTTGCAGATTTGTGTTGATAATTTAATGGGGTTGTATGAAGCATCCCCCATGGAGTTTACAACTTCGTAGATCAAATTCCCCCTCAGAACTGCTAATCACAATTGTCACAATGCCATGAGATGCCTCAATGCTGATTTTGGACATTCGCCCCTTTGTGTGCATCCGTGGCTATGATTCCAACCACCTTGCCTGTACCAATGCCGGAATTTCCGCCACAACATGGCGGCTTTGCACTGCATCCTTTGCTCTTCCTCTCCAAGCGGCGAACAAGCAAGACATCAGTCCGATAACAACGTGGCATTTCCAAGATGGAATCACGGTCTTGTTTCAGTGATCCTTGGCCCATGTCTCTATTCAGCAGACCAGGTGAAGGAGGTGGTTTCCTTTTAGTTTTTGAAGGCTTTGGACCGGTGAAAGCTAACTTCTGAGTCCTTTGGTTGACCAAATGGGCCCCGAACTGGTTGTGCCAGGGATGTGCCTTGCAGCCCGATTCACCATTGGGGCCTTTGAGAATCGAAAAGTGCCTCATTGAAGCAAGCATGCCACCTTCAAACTTCAAATATGCCAGGTATTCATCCTAGATGTCGCTCATGCTTCCAAGTGGTGCAGGGCGCAGAGTTTATACACATATACACATATACACACACGCACATATATATATATATATATGTATTTTTCACCGTCCACTGTGCAACCTCCACGCAAAACTTGTTTCAGTTATCCACCAATGCCAGAAGTAAAAAGGGTTTAGGTTGACATTGGAATTGGTTCAGCCAGTAACAAGTGTCCTTTGTGCGGGCCGACTGATGTTCCAAACGCTCACTACCCGCCGAACATCAGCGTACCTCGCCAATGGGGGAGCAGCCTCGCAATTCAAGCTTACTACTTTTTGAGCAAAAAAAGTCAAGCCTAGTATTAAACTCCTCAAAACGAGGCATAAAGACAAGGTGGGGCGCTCTAATGGCAGCCCTGTGTTGTTGAAAGATGACATGTGTATACAATCATTTTTTGGGGAGAGGCAAGGAAGTCTGCAAGTCTGCAACACTGAAAGGAATGGCAATGTTATGAACCGACGGCAAGGTTATGAAACCAACGACAATGTTGTGAAGCCCCTCACCGCCTGTTTCGTGTTTTGGGGTCCCGCTTTGTTACTTGTATGTGACTTATTGTTATGATGCATTCAATAAGCAATGCCATGCATGTTTCGCAAGACTAATATGACTCACATGCCATAAGACTTGGAGTATAGCCCAAACAAGGTACTTAGAGCTTCAGACCAGAGCTCATTCGTTCGCACTCATTTGCTTTTGTGATTTTTGTCTCTCTGGGAGTCCAGATCTACATACTGTTGAACTAAAGCTGCCACTGTGAAGGGGTCGCTCCACCTGCTCCACCCCGTCCAATTGAATCATGTAGCCATCTGATGACAATGTTGTGAAAACAATGACTGAATCTTTTTCAAGAATCATGGGGCAAGGGTGAAAATCAATGAAACGGAAAGCACCATGCCAAAGACTGACCAAGTCATTGACCCAGCAGTCAGGAACAAGACTTGGCGGCACCGAATTAGATCGTTTTGTGGACGTTTTGCTTGTCTCGTTGGAATGGAATTGAGAAGGCCAAAGTGTTGTTTGTAGATGCCAACATTCAAGACGTGGACAACTCCCTCTAATGTTGGGAGTGCTCACTCGACTCAGAACAGCCTTTGCTTCAGCATTAGACTTGCCCAGGCTGGCAAAAATAGATAGTAACTGAAACGCACCCTCTATCACAGGCGGCTGTTATATTGCACAAATTGCCATTGCCAAGCAATGCAAATCTAAGGGGCAGTTATATAGGTGTTGGCAGAAGCAAATCCTAGTTGCACGTTGACTTTCAGGGATGAGTTGTCATGAACATGAGCACCCAAACGCTGAAAACCAGGTTGCCGAACCGGGTTGCCGGTTCATGGTTGGTGACGCAACAGCACTTTACGCCTGCTTTCATGCCCCGTGGCAGACCCCTGCGACGTTGCATCAAACATCGAGTAAAAACATGTGCGGGAGGGTGTCAGTGTGCGTGCTGGCTCCAATGTTTCTCAGAGACGTGAGACGTTCTTGGATCCGTGGTGTTTTGTGTTTTTATTTGATTTCAACCACCCATTTTCCACCACTTTTTCACAGTGAGCGTGACTTGAAAGAGGATGCCAAGAAACACGCCACAAAGCCGACCGTCACCGACGCGAATTACAAAGCGACGAGACTTGGATGCTGTTTGGGCTTTTTCTGTCCATGACATTTGCTTGATACTTGCAGCCTGTTTTGGTGCCCAAGCAATTAATTATTGGATGCAGGAAACGTTTGCTTGACCCATGCCATTGCTTGTACCATGTTTATAGTTTATACACGTTTTCCAATCAACTGTTCAGAGATGATTGGTTCATTAGTCGCAAGTCTCAAATCTGGACCATCATTTGGCAAGAGTTTTATTTGTACATGTATAATACTGTACATCTGCTGTATATATATATATATAGTGCACCCAAAGCTGATGAGTTCGCATCATGTGGGGTGATGAGTGATGGCTTGGTCGTGCCTAAACTCAAAGATTGGACGTGATGACTCTTCAATGCAACCTACTTAATTAAGTAGTAGGGGGGAACTTAAGTTTCCGTAAACATCTAGGAACCAAATGGATTAGGGCGGCGGGGGGAGCTTCCTTGAAGAAGCGTGTGTCTCTAGTGGCTTTTTGTTAGCTACTAGCGACTCCCTAGCTTCTACTAGCTACCTAGCTAGCTACCTCCCTCTTCTACCGGCCTGCCCCCCTCCCCGGGCCTTAAAACCATGATTTTGTGTCGTTCCTCAGAGTGTTCCCAACTGCCTGCCAGAGAGAAGGAAGTGTTCCCGTGGGTGTGGTCACAGTTTCGTGAAGGTGAACTGCTAGTCCAGCGTTTAAACGACCAGGTGTTGTAGCTTGTTGATGAACTTGCACCAGGTCGGCACATACCTGGCTGAGCAGGTGGCTACAACCAGCTATGCGTGACTTGGACTACAGCTAGAGAGAGACAGTGGGCAAGGCACCATGGTCTGCCCTCATGGATCCTCATGAAGACACAATTATATTTATATATACTGTAGTAGTGATAGGCTTAAATGCTTTGCAGTTTGTCGCTGCAGTATCTGCATAGAGCACGGTACAGTGCATCTAAGCAGGCTAAGCGGGCAGCTTTCTTCCTGTTCGCTCAAATTGTTTCGAGAGTTTTATCCGAGGTTGCTAGCAGCCACTCAAGCAGATGCAGCCAAGAGAATTGCCAGAATTGCCAACTCTAACGGGTACCTGCCTCAGTTGGATGTTTGACTAGGACTTCGGAGAGAGAGGGAGAGAGAGGATTTCCAGAATAAGGTTCCTGAGCAACAAGTGCTTTGCCCCCGGGAGTATTGTGGTACAAGTCTCCGATTTCAGACGTGGTGCATAGAAAGTTTTCGGGTCAAGCGAACTGAGGCCACAGACAAGAATCGATTGTGATCATAGCAGCGTCACTTCTGAGCCCCACACTGTCACACTGTCCAAGGGGGATTGTAATTTCTACTCGTACCTGGAGGTTTGGGTGTTGAGACCTTGCCAGATGGCAGACGTAAGCGCACTCCGTGTCCTCGAGCTTTCTTGCGCGCACCAACCATTATTGTTTTGCACATCCTGGACTTTGGGGTGTAGAATTTTAGGACCGATGAGGTGCTGCGTAAATAAACCGGCGGTTTGTTTCTGCTTTCCAAGGTTACGCAAGCGCAGACTGCACCTTGACTGAAGTCTGTGGAGCTGTTTGGGATGTACATCGAACAAGCCAAAGGGCTGATCATTCCCAATGGGTCTGAGGAGAGACGGCCGCAACTTCAAGAATGTGTTGGAGCTACCCGCATTGGAAACTTGGTTGTGTTAGTGCCTCTATGACTCTATGCGGAGTGATAGATTGTTGTACTTAGGCAAGTCTGGATCCGTTGCTCTCTGGCAATACGGAGTCAGTCAAAGAAGCGCAGGTGGCACATTTCGAGGAGCAGCGAAACTTGGACTGCATGAAGCGAAATGAGCGGTTGAGCATCGGGGAGCTTCAAAAAGAGCCCGCCTCGAGCTTGCTCATTGTGCCCATGTTGCATACAGTACATATGAGCGGGCCCAAAGCCTACAGAGCACCCCAAAACCTGCAAGCACCCGCGCAGCCTATGCTGCACGGTGCCAATTTTTTGAAAGGGCCGGGCCGATTATTAAAGTTAGATCATGAGCGCAAGTCTCCGCCAAGGGCGTCAGCGTCTTCAGAATATTGAGATCTCATCAACTCGTTTGTCGCAGGGCAGGAGACACTCTGACTTTCGTTTTAGGCATCTTTATTGCACTTTTGATCAGCCAACAATGGCATTCACTCTGACCAAAGAGGCGTTGAACTCTTCCAATTGTGTGGCATCAGTGCCGCAGAGTCTGTTTGCTCAGCGCGATTCAGCCTGAACCAGGAGTACGTGGGGTGCAGATCGCGAGGTGAAGCAACGCAACTCTCAGGCTGGCCTGTCCCGTGAGCATACTCGTCGTGGGTTGGTAGGCTTCACCCTCGAAACAAGCCCATGCTTTGGAGTGGGAACTCTCGGGTAGTCGCATGGCCCGCAAAGAGTATGAGTTCTCATAAGCAACGATCCTCCGCTTCCGGTTCCTTGACCCTGTGGTTCCATTCACCCTCTACTACTCCTGCGGCCTACTCAGCACTTTCGCATATCTATGTGTGAATTGGGCAAGTATTCACACTGGTAGGGAGGTTGCAACCTGAAGTGGTAGGAAAGGTGGAACGTGTAGTTAACGTGGTAGTTGAAGTGGATCAAATGAAGTGGGGTGGTGAACACTTGCTCGAAGGTCCCGGCACTCGAGGTCCAGGAAGCGCTCTTTCTTCTTTCTCAGGTCAGGCAAGGTCGTGCCTGAACATGTCGTAGCCTATGGCAGGCAAACACGCGCGTCGCCAGTCTCTCTGATATTTCTGAGTGGCGTTGATGCGGTCCAATCGCTCAGCTGCAGCTTTAACTTGGTTGTAGGTCTCAATGAGCTTGCTGCGGTCTTCCACTACCTCATTGTAGGTCGTGATGAGCTGCTCTCTGTCATCATGGAGGAGCTGGTATCGAGCTTTCACTTCATCAAGTTCCTGCATCAGTTGTTGACGCTCCTGGTTGATGAGTTCCATTTCGGAGGTGAGCGCTCGATGATCTTCTTGCAGCTTTCTATTCTCTACATGGAGGGTGGTGAGCTGTCGGTTGATTTCTTGAACTGGTCGTTGGAGGTCAGGTGCCTCTTCGAATTCTGTCTCGCTGTTGGTGGCAGCATCTTCTGTAGTGTTGCCGGTGTGGGAGCCAGTGAGGTTGGAGTCAGTCTCGTTGCTTTCTTGCTCTTGCAGCATACCTGGTCGTGAAGGTGGCTCACTTGGTGGTAGCTGTCGTCTAGTCCCAGGCATCAGGGACATCGTTTTCCAAAACAGCCATTGCAGGAAAATTGCAATTAGGGCGGTGAAGAAAACAACACACAAAAACTCACTCTCGATGCTCAGGTTGGTGAAGGAGGTGTCATTGTTCGTGGAGTTGGCCAGGGTTGTGGTGAATGTGGAAAAAGCAAACAACGCTTGCATTGCCCTGCTTGGTCTCTTCAGGGCGAACATCTCTGTGTTCTTGCGCCTGGTCTTGAAGTCTTTCTTTTTGGCTGCCTGAAAGGAGTCATCCGATGTGATCTTCAGTAGATGGGTCTTCAAGCGATCAGCTAAAAGCTGGGAGCTATCTGTCTTCGTCATGGAGTCGGCATATTGAAGCTCGGAGGATACCCAACGTACAGCGGCATGGCATGCCTTCAGTTTGTCCTGACAAACAAGTGTCTCTATTGCTGTCCTCTTGTCGGTGCCATGTGAGGCGTGAACTTCATCTTTCACCAGCGAATCGTATAGGGCCTTCGCATCGATGATCATGGCTGGTGCTACTGGAAGGGTGGCAGTGCTTGGTGCATCCAGTGGCAAATTTGGAATCCAAATTAGCTTCCAAAACGTAGACACATACAGCAGAGCGTCTGCACATTCTCCAGCTGCTTGAGACTCAGCTGCGAGTGAGGATCTTGCAATCCTGGGCAGCTTCCATGATCGCCAATCAATCATGTTGTATTGGCCAGTTTGGCCACTCAGCGCATCAGCCTTGGTCAAGAGGATCAGATATCCTCCTTGGCTGCTCAAGTCGTTTCTGGAGGCAAAGGCAGCATCTGAGTATCCTAGGAATGCAACTTTCCGAGGATCTCCTCCCAACACACTGCGTATATGGTGCTGTCTGAGTACTCGGCCATTGAAGAGCTCCAAGGAGACCTCGCAGCATTGTCAGCTCCTTTGGATTCAATTTGGCCTCTGGCTGTTTGTTTCTTTCTTTCCTCAGGGATGGTGATCGGCTTCAGGCGTTGGATGTAGTGGCTTTGGTGCAATTGAACCTTGTCCTCTTGCACTTCAACTTTGCATCCACAGTATTCAACACTCGCACCTGGTTGAGCTTCTTCCCAAAGTCGGAAGGAGAAGGCCTTGTGCAATTGTTCCTTCACCAGTTGAAAGGTCGGCGATTGAAGGTCGCCACAGCCAATGACATCATCTACATGTATTCCAAACAGTCCAACAAGTGAACCTTGGAGAGTTGGTTCGAATTGGCTGGGGGCATTCATGTCGTAGACCAAAAACAAAAAGGCGTCCAGAGCTTACAGCTTCTGTGTACCAATTTCTTGGTGCATCCACTAGGCCGTACATGCTTTTGTTGAGCTTCATGACGGTGCGGTCTTCGGGCTTCAGGCCAAGTAAGGATTTGGCATCCCTTGGCAACTTAATCCACAAGGTGCGCTCAGGACCGTGTGGTCGGCCTTGAAGGAAAGCCGTGGAGATGTCACCTGTATAGAGGGTGTAGTTCAGCATCTGGGAGATGGACAGGATGAAGCTTCGGGACAGCCTTGTCAAGGTGGGGCTGTTGGTATTCAGGGTCCCTGCTAGTGCATCGGGATCTCGAAAACCTTGTGTGACAAGTCTCGCCTTTGCTCGGCGGGTTCCATCTGGGTTTTTCTTCCAGTGGAGGAGGAAGCGTGCTGTCATGATGCGACCGGGCGGTGCAGAATCTTCCGAAGCAAATTCCCATACCTGATTGTCAAAGAAACTCTGTAATTCTTTCTGTTTTGCTTTGATGAAGGTCAAACGGTCAGCCAGGGTCAGATGGCGTTCGCTGATGCTTCCGTCATCTTTCTTCTTCTTGGAAACATAGCTGGCTTGCCCTTCACTTGCAACATAGAATTGTTCAGTGGCCTGTCGTCGATTGCGGGGCTCGATCTTGAAGCGGGTGTAGCCAGTCCAAACACTTGTTTCTGAACTCTCTTTGTTTTTCCACTTGTCAAAGCGACGGCGGTTTCCGCCGTAGGACTTTTGGTGCTTGCTCAAGTGGTCCAATGGGATCGGGCAGTCATCAGCTTCTGGTGTGAACTTGCTGTTCCGCGGCATGTAGTGGTATCTCACCAGATGATTGCCTTCAAGTTTCCATTCATCTTGCATAGATCCCAGAAGCATATGACCAGTTTCGTCGGTGGTCCAACCCAGTGGCAAGTGGCTCTTCTTCAAAACTTCAATTTCAACTTCTTGGAAGAGAGCTTCATCGACTGAGGTGTCCTTCAAGGGTCGCTCCCCATATGGTGCCTCAACATGTCTTGTGAGGTTGGTGGTGGGTTTTGGATCCAATGCTGGTTTGTAGAACAGCGTTTCTTGTCTATCGTATCGGCTTCGTCGAGCTTGAAAACTTTCTGGATGGGCTGGGGCCACAAATGGATTGGACGTGTCAGGACTGTGGTCCGGGTTCTCTCCGGCGGCGGGTCGTGAGCCACCAGCTCCCGCTCTTTGGCGCCCGGTAGAGGAACCGGCTTTGGGTGTGGCTGCCTCATCCAGATGAGGTTGTGGTGCATGAGGTGGTGGTTGTGCTTCATCATGTGGTTCTTGTGGTACGTATGGTTGAGTGGTTGGTGCCGTGTGGGAATCATACTCAGAAGTGCTGATCTCTGGTCGCTTCAACATGTGGATGGTCAGGGAGTCCAGGTCCAAACATCATGGATGATGAGTCAACAGCCACGTGGTCATGGTCAAACTCTTCCTTCTCTTCTTCTGTGTCCAGCTCTTCAAGGCGGCGTTTATTGGATTTGGGCAGATCCAAGTATTGGGTCACACCTCGACCTCGGACAGCTTGCAAAGCATCCTTTGCGGCATGCAGATTGGTGCGGTGCTCTTCATCAAGAGGTGCTGCGTCCATGAGAGGTCTGGTATGTACGCTGCTCTGATCAAGCTGGTGCCGTGAGCAAGCCAATAAAGTTTGTTTTCTTCTTCAACCATGACAACAGTTGCTGGACCACGCCACGTGATCTTTGGGCCAAGTGCAGATTGTCCTTGAGGAAGATCTCTGTAGTAGAAGCACCTTTGACCAATGCGCAACTGCTGAACATTGCCACGGTATTTCCTGAGAAGCGCACGGCGCAATCTGTCGTCATTGCTTGCTCTTGCAACTGAGGTGGAAGCCATTTGCTGATACTCCAACTTCTTCTGGAAGGCCATAGATGGAGTCAGCTGTGTTGGATTCAACTTCTCCTCAAACAGATTGCCTGGCAGTGTTGGAGTGTAGCCCAAAGTCCACTGCAAGGGTGAGTAGCCATGAACATTTGGTGTTCTGTTGATCTGTGGTATGCAGTAGCAAATGGCTGTGATCACACCCTTGTCACTGTAGTCTTGGCTGTCATGGAGAATAGCTCCAAGGCACGACGGATGACTTGATGTCGTCGTTCAAGGATGGCTAAGCGCTCATGGGCCTGGCCAGGGGAGATGACAATCTCGATGTGATGCTGTGCGCACCACTCCTTCATGGAGTCGCTGGCCCAACCTCGGTGTTCATCAACTTGCAAAATCTCCATGGGACCAAAATGGCGAATCCATGTGCGTTCAAGCGCTGACTGGAAGCTCGTGGTCTGTTCATCAGGCAACAATCGAGCTGATACAAGGCGAGTGGTGGTGTCGCTCATGATGAGGATCGGAAGTGCTCTAACCTTGTTCTCACGATGGATCTTCAGCCACATGGTGTCAGCTTGAACTCGATGGTTGAAGTAGGTGCCCTTGTAAAGGCCAGTCTTTGGGGCCTGCACTGGTTTCTGTCGGAAAGCACAGGTCTTGCGTGTGAACTCTTCACAGGCTCCAATGAGAAGATCATTGGCCTTGTGCTCTCGGAGGGCTTTGATGAGTGCTGCATCGGTGGGATGGCTCAAATTGCGATGAAGTCGAAGTAGAGTGCGTTGAGCCTCCTGCTTAGTCTTTGACAGCAAACGTCCAAGGATTCCTCTTTGGCTCAACTCAGATGGCGAGGGCGGTCTCACGAGTCAAGAAGTAGTGGATGTTCTCAGCCAAGAATTGACACATACCTGGCTGATACGTGGCAGCAGCTGCAGTGCGACTTCCAATGCCTGGAGAGGATCCTTCCAATGGGAGATGCCGATGGCAACCTGGGCAAACTGCATTGAGTGCATCGGCCAGTCATGCATCAGACAGTGCCAATGTAGTGGGCTTCTTGACGGGCAGGTAGGTGCCATCTGAGTCGGGCAACATAGTTCCCAGGGCGCACTGATCAACTTGTGTTTTTTTCCACAAACCATCCATGCTCGTGAAGGTGCTGGTCTTCCATGATTCCGCATGTTTCGGCTGTTCCAGTCCAGCATGGTTCTCTGCATCCAACTGGTTCTTGAAGACCTTTCGGCTGAACCGGAGATGGGTATTTTCCTCAACATCACGTTCAGCTTGTAGGAGATCTTTCTGCCATGGTTCACGAGCATTGAGACGCTGCATTGGGGACCATTTCCTGCAGGGTGCTGCAATCCATACGAAACGAGGGCACAACTTGGTTTGCAAGGCCAGGAACTGCTTTTGGTGTTCTCTTTTTGTGAAGTCCCAACCATTGTTGATGTCAAACTTCATGGTCTCGTGGCCCAAGGCTTGAAATGCGGCTGAGAGGTTGCCAGAACCTGCATAGACTTCCCAAGTCTGAAGTGAACCTCGTTCAAATGCTCGTAGAGCTTGTTCTATTGACTGTCGTTGTTGTGCTTGTTTCAACTGCTGGTAGTTGTTCAACTTGTTGAGCAACTTGTTCGTGAGGGGCTTGAAGGCATCCTCAGGGGATTCCTCATAATGCAGGTCAACGCCAGCAGGGTCAAAACGATCTTCTTCTTCTTCTGCAGGTGGTTCTTCTGCAGCAAGGGCCAGCTCAGGGCCAGAACGTCCCGTGGTGGACAGATAGGTGTCAAGGTCCACAGTGCCTTCGTGGCAGTTGGTGAGCTGTTCAACGGTTTCATCTGTCATGAGGTCGTAGTCGAGGTGGGCTGCATCCCAGGTGTGGTTCTCCACAAAGATGGGCAATGTGTACTCACCTCGGTTACCTCGTGAGGCAGGTGTCCATGGTCCATCTTGGATGGAGATGGAGTCAGTCTTGTAGTCGATCTTGACGCCAAAATGTGACAGGATCGGACGGCCAATCAAGAAGGGAGTGTTCCCCTCAACAATGAACACTTGAAGTCGTCCTGGACTGCCATTGATCACGGTCGGAAGATGGATGCTCCATGATGCCAATCCTGAAGAGTCGCCTCCAAAGTGGAACAACTTGTTGGCAGGCCTGAAGCGCAAGGAGTCCATGGTGATGCCAAAGGAGGGCATCTGTGTCAACATGGTCATCAGGCCATTGTGGCCAATCACAACACTGCTTGCTCCAGTATCCAACAGGCCAACGAGGTCTGAGGTGGGCAATGCATCCACATAGCCATGGGCGACATATCCAGTGGCATACATAGCATCTTGTTTTGCTCTTTTTGGTGGTGAGGCGGTCGACGTCCGGCTGGATGAGGGTCCATTTGGACATTGTGATGCCCAATGCCCTTCTTTTCCACATTTCGGGCAGGTGAGGTTGTAGCCAGCTGCAGGTGTTCGAGCAGCCGGTGATCCCTTTCGTGGGGACTTCCCTTTTCTCTTTCTTTTTCCTTTTGGTCGGAATGACCCTTTTCCTTTTGAAGAGGACGGCGTGGAAGAGCTCGGAGATGATGAAGTTCCTTCTGGGGGCACAGCAACCACAGGCCAGAAACCTCGGGAGGCTTTCAGCTCTGCAAACTTCTTTCTGGCGTCCAAGTAGGCGCTGTAGGCAGTTTCCATCTCATCATCCCATTCTTCATCAGCAGGATCAGTATCTCACTGACCATGAGCTTCTTCTTCATAGTGAGCTTCCTCACCTTCTTCATACAACTCTTGTTCTTCATCAGCGGGGTCATACGCAGGGTATTCGTCATAGGCGTAGGCGTCTTCATACTCAAACTCTTCTTCATCTTCGGCCATGTAGGCTCTGTTGAAGCTTTTGTTGCAGCGAGGCCAGGAGTTGGTGGTGCTACGAGAACTTGTCCAGCGAGGTGCACTGGTCCGGTAATCCTGACCAAACAGGACGTACATCACTTCTTCAACCTTCATGGTCTCAGTGTTGCTTCCACACTGAGACATCACCAAGTGACGCTGGTCAGCTGTGAGACCTGCTCGTCGAAGGAGGAGCCAGCCGGAGATGCTTTCAGGAACTTTGATGCCGTGGCGTTCCACTTCCCTCTTCTTTTCTCTATGGTCGGCGGCGTAGCTGAGGAGGGTTTGTTGTGGTTGTCGTCCACCAGCATAGAAAAAGTTCTCCAGAGCTCGAGGGGCTTCGACACGGTCGTCGTATTTGAAGACCACATCCAAGATCTGCAAGACCTTGGAGAAACCTTCAGCGTCCTCGGCGAGCTTTTCGGCACTATGTTCAACCTGTCGCCATGCAATGCCTTGCAAGGACGTGAGCAGGTTGATCGTGGCCTCTTTGGTCTTGTTCTGAACGGTCATCTTTTTGCCATACAGGCTGATCCTGGCTCTCCACTCGCGGTAGTCGCGAGGATTGTTTGTGAACAAAGGGATGAAGTTGTCCTTTGTCACTTCAACTGAACCGGAGGTGGTTCCTGAGCCAGTAGCCATGACGATCACGTAGGGCTCTTGGATCTAGTTGAGGTGCCACCGTCGACCTCAACGGTGAAGGTGCTGGAGCCGTAGCTCCGCTACCAGTGTGAATTGGGCAAGTATTCACACTGGTAGGGAGGTTGCAACCTGAAGTGGTAGGAAAGGTGGAACGTGTAGTTAACGTGGTAGTTGAAGTGGATCAAATGAAGTGGGGTGGTGAACACTTGCTCGAAGGTCCCGGCACTCGAGGTCCAGGAAGCGCTCTTTCTTCTTTCTCAGGTCAGGCAAGGTCGTGCCTGAACATGTCGTAGCCTATGGCAGGCAAACACGCGCGTCGCCCATCCCTGCTTGAGCAGTCGGCGACACTCAAAGCTGAAAAACAGCAAAGCACACCAATGCATGGAGTGCATTTCACATATGTGTTATACATAAATATACATAGGAACAACCGCATTCTTTGATTTACCGACATAAAGAAGAGCTCGGAGGATCTTGGAGTTGGCTGTTCTCTTTTAAACGCTGTGGCCCCGCTGAACGAGGTAGAGGTAAACTGTAAGACGAGATCCCCTGTAAATGTAGTGCTGTGGCATCAGAGGCACGCAGAGAACTTCGAAAACGAAACTCCAGACAAACACCAATATCAAATTTAACTGAATGAGATATAGGAAATACGACCATTATATGATTTCATTTCAAATCAACGTTGTCGCTCATATTTTTCACCCGCATCTGAAGTTCTTAGGCCGTTAAAGAAGAACGGCATGACTGCAGATTTGCAGAAGTTGCAATCTGTGTTTTTGCACTGTCATTTGTCATCAGGCCATCGCCAGTCTGACGGCACCTTTGCCTTGGTTTCGTGACATGGCCAACAAGAACATACTGTTTTATTTGTTTTCGATCATGGCGTGTGACATTGCTGACACTACAGAGCGCTAGGTCATATTTGATCAGTCTCCACACTTGTGCATTTTGCATCCTTGATTGCGGACCGAATCGACCCAAAGCCTGCGCATAGCCAGTGTGTGGGAACTCATGTGTGATGCTAAGGCCCTGATGAGAAGGATCCAGAAAGCGAGAAGAGCCCAAAGAGTCCGAAGAGTCCCAGGAAGAAAAGAGGTGCCGCCGCCGGGCCGTTTCTTTAATCACAATCTAGGAACCAAATGAATCGTGCGTGAGCGCAAGTAGCAGGCTACCTAGACCCTAGTATATAATTTGTTGAGCCCTTACAAAAAAACCAAACTGTCGGTGCCATGGAGTCTTCGTGGAGTCTGAGTTCCAACTCTTGGCGGTGAAACAGCCCCGACTCAGACTGCAGGCATGTACGCAACTGCAACGGACCGCTGGGCTACTTGGCATATGACGCGCCCAGCACCAGGAGCACTGATCCCTTGATGTTGGCAAGATTTGGCAAGTGTATCTAGTGCCTGCCACTGCCACATCCAACCAAGTAAGACTAAGGATTTGTTTGACAAGAGCCTGAGGGGCACAGGTGTCGTCAGGGCCTTTACAGTGACCTTTCTTGCTTCAGTTGACTCAAGATTGACTTGCTGTGCCAACAGGCACCCCATTGGAAAATCATCAAAAGGACTTAGACACTACACACATATAGACATTATAGGCCGACTTGAGATGACTTGAGTGCACGGACATCATTGCCACAAGATGCTGGTTCTGTGCATTTATATGCTGGTGATTTGTATAAATATAGACTGTACACTGTACACATATGTAACAAGAAGCTACTAGGAACAAGGGCATCGCGTAACAAGAGTATTACTACTAGCAGCAAGAGGCTATTATATACTAGGGGCTCCTGGCATCGCTACTAGGAGCAAGGACGCTACTAGGGGTAGGAACAAGAAGCTACTAGGAGCAATGTTACGACTGAGGAGCGGTCCCCCAAAAGTCGCTCACCGCGACGGGTGGAACGCGACTCAAGCAGCACTTGCGGGCGTTGAATGGTCGATGGGTGGAGCATGGTGGTAGCTTAGAGCTCGTCAAGGTTGGGTGTGTTGGCTCCATCCGCCACAGAGCCTGGGTGCATTATTGGCCTTCAACATGCCAGTAAAAGTCACCACATCAAAAGAAACCGTCACCGATTGATTGGGGAATAGAACGTTGTGGACAACGATCGTGCTTGTTTTCTCTGACAGGATCAAAGTTAGGAAGGACCGAAATCAAACAATCTTTATAAATCTTGCTCGAAATTGCTCGAAGTATTTGTAATAGGCCTGTTTTCTTCACTGCTTCTACCGCTGGTTCTACTGCTGGTGGGCGGGCTAAGGATTTTTCTTGCATCCGTTTTTTTGGAGTGCACGCTTTTGGGTTATTTTCAGGGTTCCCATTCCCATGCCTTTGCTTCAGTCGATGACCACGATCTCTTCAAGCTGAGCTTGGCTGAACAACCTCTCCTTCCAGAGGATCCAGTTGAGGCAGACAGGATGATGCTCGGACAATCTCGTGAGAGTCGTAGAGTCATTAGATGTCGTTACCTCCGCTGCCTTTACTGGCCTCCCTTCGTTCTCCTGCTCATTGATGTCAACCGAAACCTGCAATTCGATAGTGATAGTCTAGTGGAATGCCAAGTTCTCATTCTGGATGATGTTCCTCTAAACTGATGCCCCTCCCGATCCGATGTGCATCAGAGAATGCTGTAGAACTGTAGCTCTGCCGTATCAGCCAACCTCCGAACGTCCAACTGGGTCAACTCATAGACTGTCCCTGGCCAGGCCTATTTCCAGAGTCAAGACTGCAGGACCGGCCCCTTCCCCGCTCAAGATCTTGTGACTCTCTTTTGTCTTGGCGACCTTTCGACGTGTTGTGCCAAGAGTCGCTTGCGACCCGTGGCGTTGTGCAGGATAGATGATGTACACTCCTACAAGAAGGGCAGCGTTTTCTGCATTCCTGATGAAGCCGAAGTCCGCAGAAAGACCCTTGGACTTGGCCATTTGTTTGTGTGTTGCTGCCTCATGCCGCTCATTCCGCTAGTTTTACAAAAGCATTTGGATAGCTTCAGTTCTCACGGTTCGAGTATCACTCCAGCAGTGCCTAAGGAGACCCTCACGCCCAATAGCACCTTGGCTGAACCCAACAATGCCGGAGAATTGTCTGCATCAAGATGCTTCTGCAGGCAAGAGCTCGGGTTCAGTCCTTCCGGGACCCAAAGGCAGGCACGGAATGATGGCCCGCCATTAACTATTTGCTCAATCAATTATATTTCTGCGGCTTTGACTAGGCGATGGCTCGTGTGGCCTCCTTCCTTGAGGGAGAAAGTCAGGAGAGGACGAGCTGAACGAGCTCGTTTGCTAAGCACCTACGTAAGTCTCATGCTTACAGAAGGGGACTTATAACACAGTTGGTAATTTTAAGCAAGGGTGCTCTTGAACCTTGAACTGAAACCAGAAGAGACACTCACACGTGTCACAATGAAAAAAGAGACCAAGTAACTGTTGCCGAAGGAGCGGCGGCGGTCCCAGCAATCCGATAGCTTGGAAGAGCTGCCAGAGAGGTGCAACCTAATAGCGATGCCTCCAACCTAATGACCTAATGGCAAAAAGAATGAAACGATGGCCTCCAACCTACTAGCGATGGCCTCCAACCTAATGGTCCACAAATGTTTCCACATCATCAAAGGTAGAAACTACTGTTTGAGGCCCAGGGGCCCTGTAAGCGGGTGTTGACCAAACATGAAGGACTGGCCTTTCCCTTTTTAGGCTCGATGGAGCAACTGTTTGCTTTCTTGGCGCTCTTTGGCCAGGCCTGATCTGCTTGACCAATTGTCAAGGCAAAAGATGAGTGTCTTGTTTGCGTTTCATGTGAATGTGTGCAACACCTTGGTGCTCATTGGTGCTCGCACTTATGAGCACTCCTAGTTACTAATTCGTTACGACGACCACATCCCAGGCCAACTTCGAAGAGACGCATGCCAACTCATGAGAATGTTGCTTGGACTTCTTGGGATGTCCATCTGGGGTCAGAGAGAAATGTTTTTCTCACCGGAATCTCAGATGAGGTTGGTCCCTTTGTTTTTTCTTAGTGGCTTTTGGGCCTTTAGGCATTTTATTGTTTTCTTTCTTCCTTTTTCATCCTTTGTTAATTCTATTTCTATGTTTTGTTTGGTCAGCTGCCGTCCATGACTGATTTGGCAGCATGTTAGATAGTTCCCCATGGATCTCGACATCTTGGCAACTTGGCTCTGTGCTCCGGCGCAACTGGACAATGCAGAGGCTCCGCGGCCTCAGTACAAATGGACAGCAGCATCACGAGCTGAATTACTAGTGTAGACAGGACAGTACAAGCAAGGAGCGGCTTTTAAGATACGCACAGATAACAGGTGAATTGCCCACATTGATTTCAGGAGCGTCAGGTTTGAGGTTTCGACTAGCTTTCGACCTCAGAACCCAGTCCTAGGCATTGCGGAGCGGCCGCCATGGGTTTGGTCCGCGAATCCTGGTTATCACGTGGGCAAGGTAGAAATGCCTCAAGAAGATCTGCGAACAGTGGCAACAAAGCTGATCAGGGGTATAGGTGATCTTTTCCCGAAACAGCACGTGGAGAAGGTCAGGTTGGGTCAGGGACGTTTGAGTTTGTGCTCAGGTGCTCAGCGGTATTTAATATCGGGATGTATCAGGCATGCTTAAAGAATCCAATGCCTGAGAGGCAGTGACAAGGGCCGAAGCTGAAGTGCCTGCGCCAAAGAAAGCAGCCACCCCAGATGATGATGAAGAGGAGCTGCTGAAGCGAACGTCGAAGTGGCGAAAAAGGTATCTTCGGGCAGAGTGCCAGAAGCTCCACAAGCAGATTGTAGAAAGGAAGGCCAGCGAAGAGGTCTTTCTGAAGAACATGATGCTATTCTTCAGAGATGAGGATGGAAAGTCGATCACGCAGCGAAGCTTGGCAAGTGGTGGGCACATCCATGAAGACCATATATATATATATGTAATATATATATATACATATACAATATATTCATATATACAGTATATTCGTATATATTTATACAATTCTTTACACGCCCACAATCACATTTGGCTTCTACTCAGATGATGGGTAAGTTCAACATGGCAGGCCTTTTGTTTGAGGCAAGTATGTTATGTGCTGCACACATCTGGCACACATTGAGAAAGCGCATTTGTTGCAAGGAATGGAGATCCAAGACTTGGCGGACCAATACGAGGAGCTCAACACGCCCCTCAGCGAGTACAACGTGGATGTGTCTTCGGATAGACCCACAAAGACCTCCTGGTGAAAGGGGTTCCTAGAAGCGATGCACTTGTTCCTGGTAGCTTATTGTTTCTAATAGCTTCTTGTTACTACTAGTAAGGCACTTGTTACTAGAAGCGATGCACTTGTTCCTAGTAGCTTCTTGTTACTACGACTCGACCAACGGCATCTCGAACCCATGCCGCCTGTCCGTCATACAATGACTCCAGGCATTCCGAGCAACAAGACATGGAAGGCGAAGCGCTTCAAGCATGCTTGGAGCTGATGACAGCGCACCTCGGACGACCATGTGAAGCGGAGAAAATACTTGCATACGGAGTGAAAAGATCAGCGGTAAATGGGTGCAATGCTTTCCGTTCGCCAGGGCTTTTCGTTAGCAGGTACGCAGACGATGCGAAGCGCCGCAATACCTTCCTGATCGAGACTCTGACAACTCTGCTGTCCAACCAGCCTACCTTGCCAGGCCTGAAAGCTTTGTTTGGCACCACCAGACTCATAGATCATTCACCTTTCAATTCACCTTTCAAACCCTGTGACACTGTCCCCGTGGTGAGGTGAGCAGGATGACTCAGCGCGAGTTTGGGAGGAGTGTGCAACCTGCCTGACAAATGGAACCGAAGAGCATCAACCAGAATATCAAGAGCTAACTGTCCAAGATCGCCCTTCTCTGGAAATTCACGCTCCGATCCGCCGTGGTTGGGGCCGACACGGAAAGACCAGTCCCGTCATGACTCGGCCTTCCTAACACATTGAACGAGGGTAGTCCACCTGCGACATATTTTTGCAAGCGATTTGCCCTAGATTTCGTTCACCCAGAGCGCTTGTCAAGGTTGGTCTGGGCGCCTTATAGACGGATCCTGCCAAACAGGAGTGTTGCAGACGGATCCCCGTCCATGGCTTCAGGAACCCAAATCACAGGACTCGTGACACACTTCCAAGGGCTTCGATGAGTAGTGCTTCACTTTCAACACCATGAAAAACAACCACTTGGAAGCCGTAAATAGTTTGTGCGCAAAACAGTTTGTGCCACTCCGCCACCGACTACTGGATTTTTGTGCTTTTCCTTCCCAAGAGCGCTTGACACGGTCTGATAGAAGAGTGCGCGTGAGGTGATTGCGAATTGACTTGCGTTCGTTGATTTACAAACAAATCAAACAACACTGTGACATACTTGGCATTGCAGTTGTTTTGGGTTAAGAAACTGAGGAACGAGGGGTGACCTTTGCAGGTGGCACTGCAATCTTTTCAATTGAAACAGGGTGGGCATTTATGTTACGAAGTGAGCCATGTCCACCCTTGGTCGCTGAACCCCCTAGCTGCGCAACATTGCGCAACACTTTCTTCCGAGAGAGTTCCCTCCGCCAGAGGCCCTTTGCGCAGGACTTGCGGAGGAAAGCAACTACATACACTACAAGTTAATTGTAGAGAAACATTCCAAGACTAATTTGGGGTGCCGGGTTTGGTGTCAGTGCATATGCCGCCTAGCACCAGCCGTGTCCAAGTTCTTCCTTTTTTGAGCTTTCCGCGCAAAGGTGGTGTCTTCATACCAACGGTTGGTCGACGACTTTGACACCTGCACGGACTGGGGGCTAGTCAGTGAGTTGGATAGCAGTTGACCAATTTCCCTCGAAACACGATGCAAGCAGTCCAGGATGACATGTTTGGCCGGCGGAACATGTTCTTGGACCGCTTGGAAGACGCAAAGAGAGAAAACAAGGACCAGCGTTCTTGGGCCTCTTCCAGTGTGCTTTCTGGCTTACTTGCACGGTGGGGGTGCGAACTGCTTCAGTGTTTGTGAGCTGACACTGAAGTTTGTTGTTTGTGTTTTAGAATGTTGCCGCAATAAGGCAATTTTCACACCCCGCCCACCGGAGTCAGAGCCTAGCCTTTTGCAATCCGCACTGAATTTCGCAGGAACAGGCCCTCCAAATGGCCTTGCTAATGCAAGCGACCACTCAAGCCCGAGAAAAACTCGATGCGCCACTTGGATTTTGGTTTCGCTGTGAGCGGAGAAAAGGACGCTACTAGGGGCTCCTGGCCTTACTACTGGGAGCAAAGACGCTACTAGGAGCGTTCTAGCTTTTTGACAAAGGTCAGGACATCTAGAAGTGGGCCCGGCTTGCGCCCTTCTCATGGAGCTTTCCATTCAGGTTCAAACGCCGGTACTTCTGGGACACTTCGAGCACCTTGGACAAATCCCATCACCTCCGCGGCCTCCGACCACACACGAAAGCGCCGAGGCCAAAGCCTCAGCACTCCACGGCCCAAGCTGCCCGTGGCAGATGAGCTGGGGCCACCATCTGTCGAACGGAAGGTGCGGGGCTCGATCTGGTGATTTTTACATGTCAAACCTCCTTTCGTTAGTCTCATTCTCATTCTAGCTTCATGTTTCTCCTGTTCTCATTCCAGGATCCGGAGAGCCACCTGGAGGACTTGCCCGAGATCTCGGAGGAGCTTTCCCCAAGTTCCATACGTTCACGGGAGAAGCAACCAGAGCAGGAACCGGATATTGGTGTCCAGCGCTCAGTGATCTCAGGAGTCAATTATATAGTAATTGGAAGCTGTCAATTTCTTCACTCAGCAGGATTCTCTCTTGTGATTTGACCCAAAGACTATGTGATGTTGCTCTCATCTACTAATCTGCCTTTAAAATATGTTTAGTTTTTGTAAATTTGTGACAATTCCTTTCAATCAACAGGTGCGTGTGTTTGCAGTATAGTTTATATATGTTTATCTCCTTGTCCATTCTCCCAGTCACATCTCTGCAGTCCCGCATTGTTGCACCGCCGCAAGCTGATGCTAGCTTCCCTTCAAGCTGCGCCTTCAAATCCTCTATCCAGCTTTTGATGCTCGCTTCTGCTCCATCGGCCCCCCAGCTCACCATTTTTCGAGCTTCGTTTGCACTCCCTGGTTGCTGATTTGTGTGTTCTCGTGTGTTGTTTCCAGCTCCTTAGTCTCTGTAATGGTCCTTTCTGCCTTACGGATTCGAACCCAGGGGTCTGTGAAGATTGCCACATGTCCCTTTTCTTTGGCCTGAATTTGGTGGCTTGGGTTCCATCAGCTGCTGTACCTTCAATACCACTTTCCGGAGCTCCTTCCTGTCCTGCCTGAGCTTTTTGTGATGTCGTGCTTTTCCTCCCAAAGGATTCAACATGTAGCTAGAGCCTGGAAGATCCTACACAAGGAGTAAAGAGCTGGGATTGCCAGGTTCAAGCTGAACAGCACGCGGAAACCGCCGCTCCAGTGCAGCTGTCACATGCTGAATGCCAAAGGCACGTGATACAACAATATACAGTATACATGTATATAAAAGAGTTGCATATTTTTGTGTCATGACGCATGCAATCATATAGATCACGAGCCTTCGTGCAGCCCATGGCAGGCACCTGCACAGCTTGCTGCCACAGGCAGTGCCGATGCAACATCACAGGATGTGCTCCCCTCCTCGGCTTCCAGTATACAAGACATCTCCAGCGACACCGAGATTTGTTGGGTGGCAATTTCAAAGCCATCCTCCTGCACCTGGACCTAGATACATCGCCGAGCCAACCACCATTCCACGAAGGCGAGTCTCCGTCTCTCCGCCTCGAATCGTTGGCGTGATGCCACCACCACCGCAGATTCTGGGGGCCCAGCACATCCCGTGGCAATGCTCGGGTGCATCAGTGAGAGTACCCTCACCTGTGTCGGAGGGCGTGCGCGCAGAGCCAGGAATGGCGATGCCTAGGAGAGCCTCCTCTCCATGTGCACCATGCCCTTCGCGCAGTGATGCCCACATAGCTGGCCACATGTGTTCTTCTCGTGAAGCCAGGCTTAGTGGAGCCAACCCAGGCGTTTGCCTGAGACCCAGTGGACTTGGTGGACCTTGTTCCAGCCCCAGGTATAGGACAAGCTTGCCGGACCCACTTCATGGGCGTGCGACTGTGCCCATCTACCGGGCGTCGCCGTGCCAGTTCTCACCCCGACGGCCCGCGCACGTCGCGGCCGTACGGTCACCTTCCCCACTACGAGTGGATCACGTGGCACCCCCCCGTGCCGTGTCACCAGACTCACCACCAGTCCGAGCACAGCCAGCGCAGCCAGTCACTTATCACAGAGCAAGCGTTCCAGTCGGACCTCGAACTCGAACACCGTCCCCGTGTGCGCCTGTATCTGTGCACAGTGGGCAGCCACTCCGAATGGTAGTGACAGCGCATCCGCTGGCTGACCCTTGTCCAAAAAGCTTGAGGGGGACTTGTGTGATCGGATGTATTAGTATTGTGGCTTGTTTTCTACACTTGTGGGAAGGGGCAGCTATTTGTTCCGTTGGATTTTGACTTCTTCCAAGAGATGTCCTAATAGGTGTTGACAGTGGCGGCATTTGGTGAACTCAGGATGCGAGCCGTGGGATGCAGGCAAGTTGTCAGGTGCCTCCAAGCTTGAGAGGTGCCCATGTTAAGCCACTCTTGGGTTCTCTCTCTCTCTCTCTCTCTTTTTTTCATTGTTCGTGCACTTGAAACACTGTTCCTGGCCTAACAATCAGTGTCGCAGTGTTGAGGTGTCCGAGGTGTTTCTGACATGAAGAATAACGAATGCCACCGCCAGGCAATGCAGGCTTGTCCTGGGAGCTACCGAGAGGCTGCTCACCACCCGTACTACATACAGCCGCAGCACCTGTCTTGCACCTGACCCAGCGGCCAGACTTGCTTTGCATACTATAGTTGCAATTGACGAGCATGACGCCACCGCAACTGACACAGAATATGAAACTCTGAGGGGGTCTGCAGAGCTTGATGGCTTGACTGTGTGAGAGTGCTGTCCGAGGCGCACGCCTCTTCGCTCGCGATCACCTCTGGCATGCAACCGAGGCCATAGATGCAAGAAAGATGTCGAACCAGAAAGAAGTCCATTCACCTAAAGGAGCCATTGCACCAACAGCTTTTAACGGGATTGCTGTAAATAAGTACTGTATATAATACTGTATATATATATATATATGTGCTACATACAATTAGGATTAAGACTACAGACCAGGCATGTATTCCGATGAGGCCGCCGAGCCTCTCAGAGACCATTCGTACTCAAACGACGTTCCCTTCTCCAGGCCGGGCGGAGCAAAGGTGGCCACAAGTGAGCCATGTCTTCAGCCCATTGAGTCGTTCAATCCAGGCGCCTAGGACAATGGAGCCTAGGCTCACTGTGCCTGGAAATCGCTTTTAGGTTTTAGGTATATAATTCAGCTTTGCAGCATGGGAAGGGCAGAGGAACACACACACACACCAAGTTCATGTAAGATCGGCGGGTGAAAGCAGATCATGGCTTACCCCTCCGCCCTCCCACCCTTTGTGTCCAAGATGTTTGGGGTGACACGTCAGCTGTTTGTGACCAAAGCCTGACGCCATTGGAGCGATGAAGATTTCATCTTCGCCGCGGCACTATGAAGAGAATCAAGTCGCGAGCAGAGGGCAAAACGCACAAGCTTGAAGTTGGACATCCACACGTGTGCACTTGGATTTTTGGAAACCTCTGGAACACTTGTGATATTGTGCTTCATGTGCGGTCATGACAAACACAACTGCTGTTGCTGATGCTCCACATGTCGCACGCCTGAGGTTTGTCTTTGGGGCTGTAGGCAATGAGAGCCTTCCCTGCAAGTGGCAGCAAGTATAACTCCCACAGTCTACCCCCCCTGGGCCAGAAGAAAAGTCAGAAGAACACAAGGTGTGCCAGATGGCCAAAGCACGAGTCCTCTTTAGCGGTAGTGTGTTTTACCCACAGCGTGGGCAGTCCTTGCAGCTGAGGAATTGCAAAACAAAGAGAGAGAGGGAGAGCGTGCCACTTGACTGATCTGGACTCTGCTGTTTTTCGGTTTGATGGCATGGAATGCGTACAACCCTGTGGTGGTGAGCTTTCCCGTCATGCAGGCGACTCCGTAAAGACCAATAAATGTAGGCACCGCAGCCGAGCCGTGTGCTGTCATAGGCCACCTTCATGTGCTTGAGATTGGTGGGCTTCGTGTTTCGCCAAGGTTCTTTGAGAGTTGCGGTCCAAAGCTTGGCCTTTTGCAGACTGCATCGGGGTAGCGTGTTTACAGCGCACAGAGTCTCAGACTGAGGCACGAAGGATGACATGCCAAAGCTCCTGAAAGCGTGGGACAAGATAGACACTTTGCTGCAACCCAGTTCCTGCATGTAGCAGCCTTGCCACTTTGTTACTTCCGAACTTTTTGACGCATTGGCCAGTGCAGCACGGTTCAAGCCGTTGTAGTATGTTGCGCTGCGATGGCTCCTGTTATTCGGCTGGTGTCGCAGGACCCCAGGATTTGGGTCACCGATGACGCTGCTTCGCACAAATTCCTGGAGTCTGTCGACATGGCCTTTCAGTCCACGGATCGCAATGTTGTGGAAAAGCACAATGGTCGGAGAATCGTGGCACGGAACATTGATTTTGAGGCTGATGCCTTGTGGCAGGAGTAAGGGAGGGACGCTGAGTCTAAACTTGTTGGAATATTTACTGTATTATATATATATATAGGTGCACACACACATATGTATATATATATAGGTGCACACACACAGACACACACACACACACACATATATATATATATAATATATAAGCACCGCATGTGCTGGGCCCTGCTCTTCCGCAAGCACTAGCATGTTCTACTTTCAAGCTCAGACGTCCAAGATAGAGATTTTTGCTAAGCAATTCCAGGAGCTATTTGAGACTATCTCGGACATTTGTGGCTTGGAAGGTGCCGTGCCCCAGCATCGCAATTTCATGGTGACTGAAGTCTTTGGCCGCGGACAGGATGCCCATGTAGACCACACCAATATTGATGATGTAGCGGCTGGGCAACCTATCGACTTTTTGGATTTGACGAGGCAAAGCCCCTCGAGGTCGAATCAACGAAGAGTTGTCCCGACCCTTTCCATTGTATTGTACTTCAACGCCGTCGGCGGCATTCGGTTTCCGTATGCTGATGGGATGAACACTATCGCCGGCAAGCGGGGTCGCATGATTATTTTTGAGAATTACCAAGATGAATGTAGGCCTTCACACCAGAAATCCGCGGAACACTACGGCATCTACTTTGAGACGCTCCCCAAGCGCCTTCTGGTCATGGGCGTTCTGGCCAACAAGACACCGGCGATGTCGCAGACAGCAGAGTCCACCAAGGGATTGATCTACTGCGCGGGCACAGAGCGAGATCCTTTGTTCCACGATAATCCCTCCTATGATTGTTACAGAAGGCGTCCAAGGCGTCCTGAACCTGAGCCCGTCAAGGAAGATCTCATTGTCTCACTGGAGGTGAGCTTCAACAAAAAGGATTGCTCTGTCATAGGACGCAGTGTTGGGGGCGAAGAGCTGTGTCAGGTGCAGTGCAGCAAGGAGGAAACTATGGCATTCCTTACTATTGAGATACAAGGCGAGGTGGATCCGGATAACAAGCGCAATGTCCTCTTGTGCAGCATGGATGGACAGCTTTTGACCGCTGAGCATGCAGACCAAACACTTTTGGAGTGTTTCAAAAGCGTGGAGGAAGACAATGAGACATCCAAGACACCCAAAGCCGTGGAGGAAGACGATGAGACATCCAAGACACCCAAAGCATCCAAGAGCTTATCTCATTTGTGTACGGGCAAGGGGCCCTCAACTGCTAGGCCCTCAACTGCCCCCTGATTGAGCTGCAGTGGCCGCGGCATGGAGGTGATCGCACTGCGATAATCTGACTTGAAGCAGGAAGCAGAAACACGAGCGCCTGTCACATATTTATCCCCGTTGGCTGTCACAATCACCAGGGAGACTTGTAATACAGAATCAAGATCCGGGCAAGAATAAATCATTGTTTAAGTTTCACCTCAACACAGGAAAAAATACAAGACTCATGGGGATTTTACAGGATTCTATAGCATCTTATGCTCAGGATTCTATAAGACCACAACCTGTCAATTTCCCCCACCAGGTGTGGATCATATTTAACGTATTTCTATACTATATAGACAAGACGTAAAGCAAATATATAAACACAATATATAACATATACAGTATATATATATATGTATAGATATATATAAACAATGTGCAAGTATATAATATATACTGTATATATATATATATGCACATACAAACATGCATTGCTTTTCTGAGGACCCGGATGATGCGGGTCGCATTGAACTTGCTCAAGTGCAGCGCTTTGCGGATCGCGCCTTGAAGCAAGACCAGCCAAGCAGTCGGAAGACGGTTTTAGTCGCAAACCATGCGCACACCGACAGGTTAGAAGATGTTTGACCCCCCTGGGGTTGTTTTGATGAATCAACAGGCTACATTACAGGCTATGAATGGTTATGAGAGTAGCTTCTTGTTACTAGTAGCGATGCCCTTTGTTACTAGTAGCTTCTTGCTCCTAATAGTATGGCCAGGAGTCCCTAGTAGCGTCCATGCTCCTAGTAGCAAGAGTCCTGCGGTTTCACTGGAAGGTTTGATGATCGACTTGGCTGCAGCGCATAAATGGCTTCTTGGCTGAGGGCGTGAGGAATGTGCCCAGTGATTCTTGCAGCCACACTCAGGAGCCCCTAGTAGCGATGCCGCAATGCCCTTGCTCCTAGTAGCGCCAGGAGACCCTAGTAGCGTACTTGCTCCTAAGGCTGGAGAGCAATGCCCTAGGCGCCCAAGAAGATCCGCAAAGCATCTTGGAAACAACACTTGACAAGGGCCCAATGCGGCGTCTAGCCACCCCCAACAGCAAAACGAAGTCGACTCAAGAAGAAAGGTTCCGGGGTGGTCTGAGGCACAGCCCAGGCCCCAATTCACGAAAGGTAGCTTGAGCTACCTGAGTTCTCCTTGCTTTAGCAAAAATGTATTACAATCAGGAGTTGGGATCGTGCATTGAGTTTGGTCCTGTAAGAGTTGATTCTGTTCGTCGGGGGGATGAAATCCCCCCTCTGCCGGTTCACGCCGTCATGGACTTTTACCAGGGTTGCTTGTGATTGCCTGCTACCTTTCGTTCACCCCCTCCTCTCTCAAGTGTTCTGGCAGACTTCGGGCTCGGGTCGGGGTTCCAGTGGGGTCCGGAAAAATATAACATGGATGGTGCCAGCTGGGCTGTTTATTTACTGTAAGAAATAAGTAGAAACACACACATAAACAGTGCACAGCCTGTGGTTCTGTGGTAGTGTTGTTATAGAACCCTCACTGTTCACTTGTCATTCAATTGTGATGCCCTCGTTTTTGGTGACAGACCATTCAAACGAATGGCTGGGTATTTGTAAGCAACCATATATCACCTGGCCATGACCGTCGTGGCACGCCTGTAGGCATCTTGAGCCGAATGCCACCCTGGATTGCCAGCACAGCTGAGGTGCATCGGCTATCATCACGGCCCACACAGTGCCTCATCCCACATGTTTCTCACAAACGGGGATGCAGACTGAGAATTCTACAGTCCTGGTAGTGCTGTACAATATTTTAAATCAAGTCACCAGGCATGGGACACAATATCCAGCCACCAGGCTGTTGTGTCACGCGATAAAGACACCCCGCGGGTGCTTGGGTGCCTCCTGTTTAGTCGCCAGGAGCGCTCCCGCTTTGTCCAGAAGCTTTGCGAACGCCTCACCGCGGTGGGAGACATAGTTAGAATTGAATATTTTTGGCCCAGCAAGACCGAAGCTTCCACAAACTCAATCATGAATTGTGCTAATTGAAGGAAGAGAACAGAAAGCCGCTTTAAAAGGGAGTTTTACCATCCTTTTTGTTTTTTTTGGCGTTCCCTGAAATCACAACATCGTGGACCAAGTGAACGCAGTAGTCATTCGTAGCTCTCTTTTCCTTGCGAGAACTTCCTATGCTAGCTCAGTCAAAGGCTGTATCACCTTTGACTCGGTGGGCGCGCAACCTGCGACTCACTGTGTTTAGGCCCTCTCTGCAGCGCGAAAGCCGAGCTTCAGTTTGGAGGACTGGACTCTGTGGCAGACCACGCATGAAACACAAACACACCGAGATGAGCAAGGATAGCACCTACCACGAGCAAGACAAAGAAAGGGAGAGAGGGGGAGGGATGGAGAGCGACAAGAGAAGGGGAGAGCGCCGTGTATTGCATGTCATTTCCATCACCACTATGTCGCACAACTTCAGCTTGGGTGCGATGAACAAGTTGCCTGCTCAAAAAGTCTGTTGACTCAACATGAGGAAGCCAACAGAAAATGGAGTGGAATTGGAGCATGGTGACCCTGTGCCCTTGTGCTTAACAAACAACATGGGCGGTACTGTAGGCTATGACTATGACTGTAAGCTATGAGATTGTGTCACATCTGTGTCACATCTTTGCCGTCAGTGAGAAGAGATCATCAGTCTGAATGTTGCTCCTCAGTGCGCTGCTCAACCCATGCTAGATACATGGAACATAGCGCATACAGTATCTCCTGCATGCTTTTGCTAGCACATGTTGCGGGGAGGGAGTCGACGCCTGTTCATTGGTTGTTCTATTCACCGCCATTGTCACCTTCACACCCTCGGACTGTGGGATCGCGTCAACTCGCATCATCCACATCATCACATTTAAATCGTTGTCGTCCCTTTGAGAGGGTGTTTTGTTTCTACCTTGTAGACTGACCCATCAGTCCCTTTAATAAATCATCCCATCAATTCCCTTCTTTCCTGCACCCAGAAGGTAGCCCAAGCTTCAGTGATAGAACATTATGTATACCCACATTTAGTCAAGCCAGGACGGCTTGCTTGCATCTTGTTTGTCGCAACTAACCTTGCACAACGTCACTGAGCCAAACTGCACCTGTATCATCAAATTCCGGTAGATGCTGATGCAGACCCGCACAGATAGATTCTGAAAGGTGCCCGACGATTGAAACGTGTAGTGTAGGAGGCCGGCGGTAATCCAAAGAGCGGCATTTGCCGGAATATATTTTGTGCTTGGTCGGGGCCGGGCATGTGAAGGTGAAAACCCTTATGTATTTGGAGCGATCGGACGCTACGAACGGAGCAAAGGGCATCGCTACGAACGGAGCGATCGGACACTACGAACAGGGCTCCTGGCCGTACTAGTAACAAGGTTCGCCATCAGAAACGAGGACATGATGCGGATCATTTGGCCTTGCTCCTCTTCCGCGGATTTGGCACAGATGTCAGCTTGGTGCGAAGAGATCAACAACACCCGCCACCCGGAGTGACTCCCATTTTTTCAGGAGGCTCGAGAGCCAGGTTGTTTGAGGGGGAGGCAGCTACCAATTGTTCAAGGGGTGACTGGATTAGCTTAGTCAGTCAGGTTTGCGATCAAGAAACAGGATGGAGGGGAGAACGTGTCATGTGTAAATCAGCTCGGGCTAAGGCGACAAATGGCAGGTGACTCCACCACCTGTTCTGCCTGCAGAGGCGAAAGATGCGCTACAGGTGTGGACGCCGGGGATGGTTGCAGCGCTCCAACCACATGATTTTCATCAACAATTGCGGCCTTCGCACAGTTTTCCATCTCCATGCAACGACATTCTACGAAACTACAAGAGATCATGGAATACTGAGAAACTGTTTGCCGAGTTTCCCAAGCTACAGCCGCTTGAAATATGCTTGCTTAGGAGCAACTGTTATGTTGGGCAGGTGAAGTCGATTTCAGAGCAATTCCTCCCCTCAATGACGTATTTTTGGTGCAACTATGACTGCCTCCGATTCAATCCACTTGGACTTGCCCACTCACTGACTTGCTCGCTCGCTCGCTCATCAGAATTTGTCCATTTGTGCGATTTGTCAGGCTCATCCATCTGAGTGACGAGAGGGCATTTGCACGCACCAGTGTGTAGTGAATATTGAGCAACTCCTGGCTAGGCAGTGTTCGACTACTTCGACAAAGACGGCGGAGGGAAGATCTCTGCCAACGAGCTCGTTCTCTCTGGCCTTGTCGATCCATGGCTGCCTTGAAACAATTGCAACAGCCATGTAGATAGACGAGTACGTAGTTCCTGTTTGGTTTTTCCACCTTGATCATTTTGTAATTTTGCATGTACCAGCCATCTCAGGACAAAGCTGGTGCAAGTGATTTCGTGAGCAACCTGCCTGCGACATTGCAGATTTGGAATGCAGAGAGATCTTTTTTTCATTAGCTCCGAGCGCTCTGAGCCCTCACTCGGTCTGACCCACCTCAGGGACTGCAGCTGGCCCTACTGGGGAGATCGGTCTTCGAGACTTTTGCGAGATGCCACTCGCCCAAAGTGATGTGCGACGAATACATAGTCACATAGTTGCATACTAGCAAACAGACTGTAGCATGTGAAGACTACTGTAACACTGTAGCAAGCATACGGTACCCCCCTGTATTGATTTGCATCGGCAGTTGGAGCATTTCATGAAGTGCAAAAGTTTGTCCTCACCAGCCTTAAATCTGCAACCTTTGCGTCCCATTCCCCCAATGCATCTCGACATGTCATTAAGCTGTGGATAAGCACTCTGCCAGAGTTCGAGAAACAACACACATGGACGCACAAGTGTTTGCAAGACGTCTTTGCAAGCCGACTTAGATCCGGTTTTGGAGCTCCAGGCTTTGTCCGCATGGCTACCGTGCAACACAAGAGTCCGTGGTTGGCAGCACTGTGCTTGGCCGAGCGGCGAGTTTTTTGGCAGCACGCGAGGGGCCGTTGTCTTGTTTTTCCGAGCGGAAGCACCCCGGCTTCCGGTTTCATTCCAGAGACTACAACTGATCATTGTCATCGACAACGGATGACAACGGCGTCCTCGGTGCCGTCTCCGTCTCGGCGTCCTCGGTGCTTGTCAAAAAAAGCTAACGCTTTCTTACTTTGGCCTTTGTCTTTCCAGTTCAGGCCACTGCCCCTGTTTAGAGTGGCCACTTGGTGGACGCTTTCCGGATATCGTGGCCTGGGTTCTCGTCCGCCTGCTTTGTTTTTACTCTTTTAGCCTCTTCCGGGAGCACGACGCTTGTCCTTTGTGTCTCTTGTCTTCGTTTCGGAGCGAGGGCGGTTGACTGGCTGGGGTCTTTTCACTTCAGCTGGTCTCCTCGGATGCGTTGCTGCCGGGCGGGAGCATCTTCACCCGCGTGGTCACCGATTAAAGATCTTTTGGAATCTTTTGGAGGTCTTTAGTCTTTGCGGTTTCCTCTGTGCATGATTGAGCCAAAGGCTCCCTTTCTGGGTCCGTCTGCCGCACTATCGCTGAGGGGCTCTTGTCAACTAACACTTTCGTCTCCGATTCCTTGGCTCTCCCTGAGGTATGTCTTCTCGTCGTGCTACCCAAGCGTTGCGGAATCGCTATTTTGATCTTCGACGTGCCATCCTCCTCTTCCCCCCCTCTTCCCCCTCAGTCACCCAGAGAGGGCCCCAATGGGTTCGTCCCGGGGTGCAGGAGAGGGTTGCCAGCTTCGCGCGCCCAAAAGTCGTGGTGACGGGGATCTCCCCCCCAACAGCATTTGTTTCTGTTCCGAGCTTTGTTACTACTAGTAAGGCACTTGTTACTACTGGCTTCTTGTTACTACTAGTAAGGCACCTGTTGGCTCTTTTCCGAGCTTTCGCAAGGGTTACCCGCGTTGTTTTCTCGTCGATCTTCGAGCCGCACAAAATGTGGTCCTGGTCCGTCTCGTGTTCCTCCTGTGTCGTTCGCCCCCGCTGGTGTTTCAATACTCCCGGTTGGCTCAGGGACAATCTTCTCCCCTGTCCCTCTCTCGCACGTCGATGTCTTCTTCGCAGATCACTTCAAGTGAGACCGAGCACTTCAAGTCACGGTTTCGGTCGTCTTCTAGGTTCGTTTCGTAGCTGTTCGGGAGTGTGGTCCGGCGCGCGGACCGTTAGCGGCACTACTACTACTACTACTACTACTACTACTATTGACCATTGTCATCGGAGACAACGGATGACAACTTCGGCGTCCATGGCGCCGTCTCCGGGGCAACCGGTGCTTTTAAATATGATTTCCTACTTACTTGGCCCCTTTCTTTTAAGTTTGTCAGGTGACCGCCCCTGTCTGGAGTCTGGCCAAATCGTGGAAGCACTCCTCCTGCGCTCTGCTCCTTTTGGTTGGTTAAATACTGTACCGGGCTAATCCCACCCTGCACAGCGCAGGAGCCTCTTCCGGGAGCACGATGCTTGTCTTCTGTGTCTGGTGTCTTTTCACTTCAGCCGGTCTCCTCGGATGCGTAGCTGCGGGCGGGAGCATCTTCACCCGCGTGGTCGCCGGTTGAAGATCTTTTGGAGGTCTTTAGTCTTTGTCCGTGACTGGCCCTAAGGAGGCCACACTCCCTTTCTGCGTCCGTCTACCGAACTGTCGCTGAGGGGTTCTTGTCACATGCCACTTGCCGGTCTCCTGGATTCGCCGATCCTCGTCTGCGGCGTTAAGCGGCTCTGCTTATGGTTGGTGGCGCCAGAGTAAGTCCTGCCGTGCTCGTCTCTTGTGTCGTCAGCGTCTCGTTAATGGTTTGTTGGCCCACTCTGGAGGGCTGTCTCGCAAAGACAGTTCTGGCGCAATCAGTGTGGTCCTTACTCCCCGGGAGCCGTCGAGGTTGTTGATGGCAAAGACTTTAATTGGGCCCGCGTGCCCACCCCGGTGCCCAGACCGCGGTCCAAAACTCAGGCGCAGCGCAGGCCAAAGGTAAGGGTCAGAAAGGGGCCGGCGGCGGCAAAGCTGGTCGAGGAGGCCGAGGCGACTAGCCAGGCTGGGTTCGGACATCGTTCTAAAACCTTTTCCTTCCTCTTTCCTCCTCTTCCCCATAAGTCGCCCCAGAGAGGGCCCCTGGGGGTTCGCCCCGGGACCCAGGAAAGGGTAGCCAGCTTCGCGCGGCACGTGGTGATGGGGATGTCTCCCCCCCCTTGAACCCGTTTCCGTTTACCAACGTGTTGGATTCTTTCCGAGTTTTCACTGGGATTCGTCGTCGGTTCCTCGTCGTTTAGTTTCCGTGTCGGTCCGATTCCGCCCCCGTTTTCGCTTTGACATTTGGGATGGGATTGGCTCGGGACCAATTCCCTCACACGTCCCTGCCTGGCACTTCGATGTCCTCTTTGCAGAGAACTCCTTGTGAGACTGTGCAAGCCAAAGTCCGATTTTTGTAGACTTCCGTGTTCTTTTCGTGGCTGTCTCGGGTGTGTGGTTCGGCTCGCGGAATGTTAGCTGCATGTTGTCCGATGGGCGGGTATGGTGCGAGCTACCCTCTCCGCTTGACGACGACGACGACGACGACGACTACTACTACTACTACTACTCCTGCTGCTGCTGCTGCTGCTGCTGCTGCTGGCCAGTCTCATTACACTAACTAACGGCGTGGAGTTGGGCACCACAAATGGAGCAGCTTTGACATTCGGCTGGGCCGGAGGGGCTAAGGGTCAGGCCTTTGCGCAACCAGGCGAAAGGCGCCAGATAGTTGTTGGCTTTGGGGGGAGATAGTCGTAAACTGCCTTGCACACCGAGGAACCCTTGGAGGCTGACAGCTTCCAATACTAGAATGTCAGGACACCCATGGCCAGACAATGTCCTCACCTTCAACTTTTACCCTCCACCCTCCTACCACCCTCCTACCGGCTCCTACTGACTCCTACCGACTCCTACCCTTTTCTCAGTGCATTGGGCCTTGAGTGTGCATGTGTGTTTCTCAGTGTGCTCAGTGCTCGCAGGGTTGGACAAGACAACGGGGACATGGCGACTGAAGGCTGGGCGTGCAGGATGGTTTCCAACAGGATCCAGATCCTAGTCGGCCAGGGAGCGCCCTGAAGTGTCAACTTTTGTGTGTGTTTTTTTTTCCCCGGGCATGTGGAAGTGTAGGTTTGGCAAGCGCATGTTTAATCAATCATTTTTTTTTCACTTCTCTTAATTTCCCTGTTCGGAGGGCGCGAAGCCCATTGCTGCCGTGCGCTACCGCTATAGCAGCTTTGGACGAGCCTCACGGATGAAGTTGGGCAGCATTTCGGGAGGCAAAATAGAAGGCACGCCAGAGTGTGCGGAGGGTGATGCAAGACTTTCCTGAGACCAAACACTGCCTAATTAGTATTACAATGTAGGGCCTTTTTGAATGATGGATTGACTTGAATAGACATTATGTTAATTATGTTCCTTTCCCAGCAGGGGGATGCTCGCACCGTATATCATTGTACATTTGTATCACAAGAGGTTTTTTGTGCTTGAATGCTTGACCTTCTCCTACGCAGCTGATGCCAGGCCTAAAGTGATGAGGAAGCTGTGCCGTTTTTGTCCCGCGCCTTTCGCATTCCTCCTGAGGAGGTGTGCGAGCAAACCTGTAACAGGTGGTGCAAAAGGGACAATGTTTGTGTGACCGGGTTTGGTCGCGCCAAGGCGCCAGAAAGGTGAGCGAAGAGGGTGCAGGTTCACCTTTTGATTCGGGAAAGTACTAATTACAGGCATGCACCAGGATTCGCTTCCTCAGGGCCAGCAAAGTCAAAGAGTTTCAAGAAATCAGTGCTTGGCAAGGCTTTAAACTTATACTAGGTTCAGATGACTATAGATGTTGGATGCGCTGGAGCGCACGAGAGCACAATGGGTGACCTAATTTCGCAGCTGCAGAATCCATGATGAGTCTTCCGTATTGCCTTGATCGTGCCTCACCGTGGTAATTGCTGCAAGATTTGGGATCGAGATGAATCAAGTTTCGAAACATGGAAAGGTTCAACATCTCCTTACTCAATTGGATTTCAACTCAAAATGTAGGGCCATCCAGAAATTCGGGGGACCTACCACCTTTCTTGGAGCCTTTGCAGCGATGCTGATTGTGCCTTCGACTGAACGGATTGATTGCTGTGTGATGCCTTAAACTACACGACTTCTAGCTGCCTGCTTGTAGGTTTGTGGCCCTGTCAAGAGGCCAGCGGCAAATTTCTGAGACATCACAGGGTCAGGGCTGACCTTTATTGTGAGAAGTCTGACAAAAGCAACCCATTCAGTTTGCAGGTTTGCGGTCTATACATACATGCATGCATTGTTTTGATATTTTTTATTTTTTCCCAGATAGCGAAGCTATGGGGTTCTTACTTCAAATAACAATGAGTTGCCCGTGCGCGCTTTCGAGACAGGTTGCTGGTGCTGGGTGCCGGTGCTGGTGCTGGTGCTGTGAGCTGGCTGTGCACGTGGTGGAAACAGGTTGCTGGTGCTGGTGCTGGTGCCGGGTGCCGGTGCTGGTGCTGGTGCTGTGAGCTGGCTGTGCACGTGGTGGAGAAAGGTTGCTGGTGCTGGGTGCCGGGTGCCGGTGCTGGTGCCGGTGCTGGTGCTGGGTGCCGGGTGCCGGTGCCTGGTGCTGGTGCTGTGGGCTGGCTGTGCACACGTGGTGGAGGCAGGTTGCTGGTGCTGGTGCCGGGTGCCGGTGCCGGTGCTGGGTGTCGGGTGCCGGTGCTGGTGCTGGTGCCGTGAGGGCTGCGCACGTGGTGGAGACAGGTTGCTGCTGCTGGCGTTGTGCGCGCTGTGGAGGTGCCGTATGCAGGCTGTGCAGGCTGCGTGCATTCTTGTTCCAGCCAGTCGCATGTCAACAGGTCGTGGGGTTCTGCCTGGCTATTTGGGTCTATGCTGGTGTAATTATTGGAACCTGCTGGCAGAGTCGAGTGCATTTCGATGCTCCAGCTCTTGCTCGGCAGGCAGCACTTTATTCTGTCATTAGTAACGGCCAGCATCGGCTCTTTGGTGGCAGCCTCTCGGCTTCACGCGGGGAACCACCCGATCACCAGCACGGAGAATCAACTGGGACCTGAGAAGCCTCAGCAAATTCTTCAACACAGGATTCTCTTGTTTTCGTTGGCGGCCACTGGTCGAATCACGGTCGTGGGGTCGAGGTCTCTGGCCGCTTCTTGCTAGATGCACCCCGATGGCGATTCTCCCAGATGGAATGGTGCCGGTGCCGGAGGTTTCACCGTTCTGTAGTGCAGAGTAGTGTCACTTTCAGATTGATTTGGCCAGCCAATACGTTGGATGCGTATTCAGATATTGTTCAGAATCTTTAAGCAACTTTACAAGGGAGCAGTTTTACAACACCTGACTCAGGATTTCTCTTCTTGGGGCGATCGTTGCCATTGCCAAGCCCTGAAGTGCTCAAAATGACAACAACTTGTGACAACATATTGCGAGTGCGAAGGCCGAAGGAGATTGAACTAAAAGACTGGTGATTTGATACCGTGCATCCACGAGTTTCTGTTTCAGCATGCAACTTTTGCTCTCAGACGGGCACTCTCCAAGCGCTCCTCTTCCTGTCTGATCCTTGGGAATCTTACTTGAACTGCCTGTAGGAAATGCGCCAGCTCAGGTGTCAGCTCCAGATGTATGGTTGGAGAGACGCTAAGGCAAATGGCTGCCCAGCTAGCTAGTTGAGCCTTCAAAAACATCCTATGATATATCTGATATATTGTTGACTGTGTTGGTGTGTGTTAATGGATATCCAATCAAAACTATTTGGAATATAGCCTATAGCCTTTGAATGCCACGGTGTAGGCAGTCTCCGTCGTGAAGCAGCGCGAAGAGAGAGCAAAACTCGTTCTGTCCAAGTCCTCTCTCTGTAAGTACTCCTTCCATCTCCTTCCGGTTCTCATCCAGGCTCAAGCTGTACTTTCCTTTCTGTATGCCAGGGTGACACGCCCCCCACTGTTCCTGCTCCTCCTCCTACACTGTCTCACATGACATCAATTAACATAAGCAACCAATCTTTCCCCCGCCTTTCTTTCTCTCTCTCTCTCTCTGTGATTTTCCCTTGCTGAAGCTACTACATTACTACACATATTACTTTTGACTCGTGAGATCACCGCTTGCTTAGCTAAAGCAGTGCCACAGCTAGAGATCACATCACCTGGAGCAGCTCAGACCAAGGCGAAATCAGCAGTGAAGACTCAAGACTCATAACAATTCAACATATTCAAAACACATCTCAATGCCCAGCATTCACATCATTCGGTAACATGGTAACAAAATAACTGCCATTGCATGCTCGACACAACTAAACCAAAACAACATGCAATGCCACAGAATGCCAAGCACGGCGTCGCGTCCAAACCTCACATCACAGACCGTCACAGATCCCCGCAAGAATTGCCACAGACGAGGAGCACCCATCATGAAACATCATACCATGCACACAATATATATATATATAAATCCTGTATATATCACATCAATATCAACACACACACACACACATATATATATATAGAGTATGATCATTGCCTTTCCCGCATGCCCCCCTTACGCATCGGGTAGGTCACTGTCTTCGCCTGCAATTACTGCGGCATGCAATTTCCAGCTTTTGAGGCAGGGCCTTTTGTCACAGTCTTCGTCGATTTCGTGTGTCTTCTTCGATTCGTTGTCAGGAAGCGAGCGCCCATGAGCAGACATGTGACACAGATGCATTTGTTCTCCGGTATCATCTGGAGATGCAATTATACTCGGCCGACAATGCCACCAAGCCGATGATTTTGTATATGTTTGTTCTCTTTGAGGTGCCTATGGCCCGGGAGCAGATGTTCCAATAGGCCGCCTTTGCCGTTGGGTTGATCATGTTTCTCCGGGTTAAGCACGCCTAACTGGCAGGGGTAGCATGCCGTTGCATTGCCAGGAGGTGCAGTCACAGTCTGGGAAGCCAAGTATCGCAGACCTGTTCTGTGCTCCAAGCTGCGGTATAGTATTTGTTCAAGCGTAGTCAGTCGAAATGTCATGAGGTTCTAACCTGCCCACCCCACTGCCCACCACCCCAGAGAGTGAAAAAATACAAAATGTGGGAAACCCTTGTTAAGGGTGGATTAGAGACTTAATTGACCTCTAATCAGGCCCAATTAAGAAACCCTTATTTTCAACACCTACTCAGCAGACTTAGGCCACTATTAGGGGCCAACTGACCCAACTTGCTTATTTTGGCCTTATCTGTTTTCAACATAAAAACCGTTGTGAATTTTATGTTGTTTCCGCGATCATCCCTAATAAGCGCATATTTCAAAATTCATGCCGATTGGACGAAATCGCATCGAAAGGGATGTGTTGACCTCAAAAATTGCAAAACTTTACGGAGAAACAGGTCGATTCGCCAGTCGATCTGGGAGTCAACCGTGTTTTGGCCTCATGTCCATTTCACTTGAATCAACCCCACCTAAAACATTCTTCAGGTCAATCCCTAATAAGCTCTTATTAGGCATTGCCCTAATTCCCTCTTCAAGGACCACAGGACGCCCATTTGCAAAATCTTACGGCCTAAACTGCTCTTGAGAATGTTTCAGATCGATCCCTAATAGGCCTTACTTAGGCATGTCCCTTTTTCTTTCTTCAAGAACCCTGTGATTTTTATATGCTAAACGGGTAGTGCCTTATTAAGGACAATTCTCGATTTTACATAAAAAACAGCGTTTCACCCGTATGAGTTCTTAATTTGGCTGCATTTTTGGGGTGGTGGGCAGTGGGGTGGGCAGGTTAGAACCTCATGAAAATGCATAGGCCTAGGCTACTTGTACTAGACGTGTTCCGAGTGTTTGTTTACCTGGCTGTTTTAGAGGCTTGGGAACGCCAGGCTGGCCACAAGCCGCAAAGGATGTTCGATGATGTTATATAGATGTGATGCCAAACATTGTGAGAGATGCCCTTTCATGGAAGAGTGTTATTGAATACCATGATATGCTGTGGGATTGAAGTATCTCCAGAGTCCTGCATCCTGCCACGCTGCCACTGGCTCGAGGGCTTGTCCACCCGTCCAGCTCAGAACGGGCGACTGGGTTTGTAAGAAGCAAAGTGCCTCGGACCCTCTGAAAGACTGCTCCATTCCCTCCCTATATCCACATCGACAACACTCTCAACGCAATACCCAAGCCGGGGGCCGTCGTTTCTAGACAATGGGACAGAGTCAATCATGTCATTGGGTTGACAATTCTTCGCGAATGAACGAAATCTTTGAATTACCAAAGCCAAAGATCGGTTGTCCTAGCCGAAGCCAAACATTTTCACCAAGTAGCTGACCAAATTTACTGTAGATGTCATGATCCTTCAGCCTCGACCTCAGGACTGGCGGTACCTTATTTCCTCTCCAGTGTGTCAGTGTGTATATAAGCCGATATTACTGTATATCTATCTCACACATGTAGATTATGTAATATATATATAATATGTACATATCACTGGAGATACTCATGTTTCTTGTAGCACGGGGCTGATGCATGGTCCAGACGTGTACCAACAACCCAAGGGTGTTCCTGCAGCCATGTCAAGCGCTGCTCAAGCGTTAAAAGCATTGGTGTCCGAACATCAAGAACAGGATTCCCAAGTTGGCTCACTGTAGATGCAAATTTGGACCGTGACTGTTGTTTTCTAGCTGCTAGCTGAAGGCACCAATCTTGGAGGGCAATTTTTACCATTCTTTACCCCATTGTAGCCTCTTTACTATTGGGTGCCGGAAATGATCCCGAAGCGGAGCTGGTTGGGTGTTTTCTTTGCTGTCTACATTCATCTCTGGCGGGCACATCGAAAGTTGGCAAACGCGCAGCAGGAGGGGTTTCGGATTGCAGTTCGAAAGTGAAGTGCTCAAGTTTGAACCCTGCATTGCTCCGGTCCAAGGCAAGTAAGGCTATGCCTATGCTTGACTCGCTTCGACTTGCGGCCAGGAGCTGTCCTATGAGAATCTTACTGAGCCACTGCTGGATGGACAGCTTCAGGCCCTAGACTTCGTCGACAGGCAACTGGGAGAGGGGTCAAAGCAGGACATCAAACTGACATGGCGGCAAACAGCGACCAAGAGAGAGGGATAGGAGAGAGAGAGAGAGAGAGAGTGAGTGAGTGGGGGACAGACATCAACTTCTTAAATTCCACATGGACTTTGCCGTGAAGATTGCGGTTGAAGGTGTTGAAACAATCTGAAGCCCTCCCACCCTCGAGATGAGAGGAATGGCCATCCTCGCCGGATTAGTGCTGTGTCAACACCGCCTGGATGGTCGGGCAAGAGTGTGGTGCTTGGACTGGCAAGGGCGAAACTGTTTTTAAATCTTAAGGTTATTTTGATGTTTCAGTGTCGAGACAAGAAGCTATTAGGGGCTCCTGGCCGTACTACTAGGAGCAAGGAAGCTACTAGGGGCTCCTGGCCTTACTACTAGGAGCAAGGACGCTACTAGGGGCTCCTGGCCTTACTACTAGGAGCAAGGAAGCTACTAGGGGCTCCTGGCCTTACTACTAGGAGCAAGGAAGCTACTAGGGGCTCCTGGCCTTACTACTAGGAGCAAGGAAGCTACTAGGGGCTCCCGGCCTTACTACTAGGAGCAAGGACGCTACTGGGGCTCCTGGCCTTACTACTAGGAGCAAGGACGCTACTAGGGGCTCCTGGCCTTACTACTAGGAGAAAGGACGCTACTAGGGGCTCCTGGCCTTACTACTAGGAGCAAGGATGCTACTAGGGGCTCCTGGCATTGCTACTGGGTGCATTCTTACCACTAGGAACACCAGTCCCCTCCGAGAGCGAGCGAGAGAGAGGTAGGTGGAAAGAGCTTTTTCAGCAAAAACGGAGGTTTTGATCCATGACCTGAAGATGAGACTGGAGACCTGGTCCCCAGTTTGGGAGTTGCTGAGGGAGGATGGCCATCAAATCATAGCTGCCGACCTGCCAGGGCGGGGGGGGGGGGCATGACCGCATCGCATGGGAAGCGTGGTGGTATGTTGTTGATGAAGTCGGTGTGTGTTTGACAATTGGTTAAGCCGCATTCTTGGATAGCCGCAGCCACCGTAGTTGTGATGCACCTCGAAGCTGATGAACTCTGCAGATGGTTCTGTAATCCCACCATTCCCAATGATGCAGCCAACCTGAGTCGGGCAAAAGAGTTCCTGACAGGCACGGCGGGAGCAACTTGACCGAGGGATCTTTGGAACTATCCTCACTTGCAGCAGACATTTGGCACATCATGGATCACTTCGGAGTCAGCGAGGCAGGGATTGGACATGCGCCTGTGTCTTTGTAGAATCTAGTGATGGTAAAGTAACCACCTTCAGGGTCACCTTCACCAGACTTGTTGCACAATGCTGCTAGACTGTCTCCAGGGTGTGCTGGTTGGCCATGGCGTGGGTGGCTTTCTTGCATTGCAGTACTTGGTGGAATACCGGAAGGACGCCACGAGAAGGCCTTGTGGTGTTGGCTACGATGTAACGAGGTTGTTTCCAATTACTTCCCTGCAGCATGCTTGCAGTTTCATCCCGAGCTTGCAGCGCATGTGGATTTGATGATGATCATGTAGTCCCGGCGTGCAAACGACCGGAGACTGTTACAATCGAAGAGGGGGAGGAGGAGGAGGAGGAGGAGGAGGAGGTGGTTGTTTCTGCCAGTTTGGTCATTTTTGAAGGCTCCGTCTCGTCTAGAGCAAAGGAAGTTGTTGGAGGCCCCTGGGATAGGCATCTAACAAATGATAAGAATCAAACATGATTCGTATCAACTTATCAACTAACATGTTTTGTGCCCTAGTCCGCTCGTCCCTTGGTCCTTTGGCGCCCCCTTCTTCGTCCCCTTCGTTTCCTTCTTACTTTGGTGTTTTGGGATGCTTATGGTGGATGCTCGCTGGATGGAACCATCCGAAGGTTAAGTCGGACTCACACAAATCCCGTGCAGATCCCACGCGACAAAGGACAGATCTAAGGCCACTTCAGGACAAAGTGAGGAACGGTTCCGCCTTTGCCCTTGTGTGGGCCAACCGAAGGTAGAATCTGGAGCAAGAAAGAACCGTTTCAGCCTGACACTCGTGTCCGCGGACGTCGAAGGTCAAATGACCACCTTAGATGCTCACTGGTGGACCAACCAAGGGCTACTGTAGCAGTTTGACAGTTAGAGTAGGAAGGAACCATTCCAATCTTAAACGCTAGAGGGCAGAATTAGGGCACAGGCAGCTTTGAATGTGGCTTCCTCATGACAGCATACTGATGAGGCTGAATATTGGTGTGTGCAAGACAGCAGCTTTGCACGGGTTTGATCGTGAGCCGATGGTGCATGGCATTCTCCATTGGGCAGGCTCTCATGGTCGACTGCTCGTTGACTTGCAGTCCCGGCTCCGCTCCAAGACCGGCCAGTTCCTTCGTGGGGCTCGGGCCAAACAGGTGCCAATCTCCTTGCTCTGTCAGTTGTGGGCCGTGTATGTCGAACCCATTGCGAAGGTTCTGATGGCATTGAGCAGGAGCGAGCTACAGAAGGTGGACCTCGTGCAGCGCAAACTGGCACGGATGATTTTGGGACAATTCCCTCATGCTTTTAGCATTGGGTTTCTTGGTGAGCCACATTGTCCGTGTGGAGGTTGAGCCTGCTGTTTCGGATCCAGCCCGTGTCTTCTTACTTTCCTGTATGAGCATGCGCGTTGTGTCCCTGGCACTTGGTCGCACCAGGCTCATTTGGACCTACTCGCCATTACTGGTCAGGCTGAGTTGCCGCCACAGGACAAGCGTCAGTGGATCATTCAGAGAGCCATACTGGTTTCTCAAATTGAGGCGGCCAAGAAGCACCCTTGCCTTTACCATTTTCCGGTTGAGGCCGTTGCTCTGGCCATACAGAAAGGTCAATGCCCAGCAGTGATCTTCGAGCATGCTAAAGTCTCAGTTCAAGTCTCCGTTTTGATTCGATTGTGGTCAGGTGGGGGGCTCAAAGAGGGGGACCGAGTGCACCCATCAGCTTTGCCTAAGCATCATCTGTGCCATTATTGTCAGCTTGGCCGTGGCCCGGATGATTTGACCAACTTTTTGCAGCGCCCCCTCACACAGAGCGCCATTGCTACAAATGATGGAACCTTCAAGATTGGATCGGCTGTGGGACCTGGTGGCACTCCAGTCTTCCCAAAGACTCCGTGTGCATCGTAGATGGATGCTCATGTGGCAAGTGCGGCAGAATTTACATGGCTACGGTCCAGTGCCCAGAATAGATAGCGTCACAAGTCGCTCGCCGAGCGCGGAGTGCCATGGGCCGAATAAAGAATCTATATATATATATATACATACAATCTACAAACTCATTTGTGGTCCGCCCGTGCCGCTGGGCCTTAACCAGCATTGGTTGTAATCCAGAACCTCCTAAGCCCACGGCCTAGCAGCCATGGTCGGACGAGCATTGTTGTGACGACACCGTCGTAGGCGTGGTTGTACGTACTCGAGATGATTACACAAGATTATACAAGGACAAAGACATGGAACACGTGAGGGCCTCCAATTAGCCGCTTGCCATTCTCGGAAGTCATGTAGAAAACCAGCGTAGTAGTCATCTACGCCCCCTACTGTCAAACTATTGCGTCTCACATTTGTGAGCAAGCTGTGAACCTCTAAGCGGATCTAAAAGGCAATTATCCGCTCGTGACAGTGGTGTACACGCACATCATTGCACAGCGCATCATCACGGCATTCATCATTGCTCGAGTCTTCTCATCCTGTTGCTGCTGCAGTCCGTTCGGGTCACATTGCCCTCACCCTTTTCAAAACCAACTTTCGTCTCTCTTTCTTTGTGCTCATGGGGGGCAGGCGTTGCGCCCTCCTCCTCTAACTCCTCTCCCGTGCCACGAAAGCTGCACATGTTATCCGTAGTTCCTGCTCTCTATTTTTTTTATATCAAGGTTTTTGTGTGTTTCTTTGGTTTCCTATGCGCTCCATGGTTTCCAGGGTGAAGGGACGGTAAGGGTTTTAACAGACGTGGCAAGTCCTGCTGCGGCCCCAACCCGGGTTAACATTTATGGGCCACATGAGGGTCGAATAAAGGAACAAGCCACACACTTGTTGTGAACTACCGGCCACCTTTTCCGTGTCCCACCCCAGGGGAAAATCTACAACAAGCTTTGCAAATTACAAACAGTGAAACAACACATTTGTGAGGCAATCTTTTAGGGTGGTTTAACTTCAAGGTTATCAACATCTTTATGTGCATCAGGCGAGAGCCTGTCCGACTTGACTCCTGTGTTTGGGCCCACCCTCAGGCCCTCAGGTCAAATTTTCAACAGACCTGAACGCTCGCCCCCCCGAAAGACCTCTTTCCAACGCAAGTGGCGCTCCACGATACATGTTCTAAAGTAAAGGCAACGGATTTGATTTCTCAAACAGGTTCACGGCTGATATGACCAATTGATCTTGCTTCCAACTTTGACATGTAACACCGTTACAGTAGTCCTGGATTTCCGAGACTCCAGGGCAACAATAAAACACATTAAAACCATGGAAGAGTTGACCAACAGATTCACCAGCCAGGCTGCCTTTTGGCTTCGTTTGCGTGGCGTGCACTGCGGGCAACTTGCAGCAGGTGATTGGCCGAGAGAATTCCCTTTTCGGCCGAGAAACGCTGCGCCACATGGCCACTGGCTTCGCTGCTCTGCGGCTGCCGGACAGGGCTGGCTGACGTTGACTGGTATGTGTATAAGATTCGGTAGGCCACCAGTCAGATGCATCTGAAGCTTCTATTTTGAGATAGGTGCGCACAAGAACATATGCCAGCATTGTTGTTTGAAGCGCACGGAGGAGCTGTTCGCCTATTTTGAGTTCTCCGGCGAGGCTTCAGTGTCAAAACGCCTGGGGTCCAAGGCCTCTTACGCCGAGGTGCGCGTCGTCCTGGAGGCAAAACGGAGAGCCCATAGCGACTGGGCCCTACGGAATCTGAGCGACATGTCCCTAGGCGGAGAGGACATGATCTTGTTTTCATCATATTCGTTGATAACTTTTACACATTCATGTGATTTGCGTTATTTTTTCATAAGTCTCATTCGTTTATTTGTTGGAGGGGTTCCGAACGGTTTGGCACCTGCAACACCCGTACCTGGTCTTGGCGCCTGCCTGCTTTTGTTTGGCCTTGTGAAGCTATACAAAGGTCGGTGATGCATACACTTTCACCACTACTACCTTGGGCTGCCAAGGTTATGGACCCTAGACCTTCACCCAGCGATCTCTGCGTTGACCTTGCCGAGCAGTGTGCTCCTGTGTGGCAGTGATGACAGGAATCCGCAGCCACTGGCATTGAGAGATGCCTTTGTCAGCTCTGGCACCCTACACCACTTCAAAATGACCCTTGCCTCAAGTTACAAGTCATTGTTGACCATTTTGTGGTTGTGCTAGTCGATGAGGCTGTCGACGTTCGATCTGCAAACAAGGCTGGAAGATGCTTCTGCCTATTCCTTGCCCTTGGCACAGGCTGAAGAGGTCACGCAAGCCGTCCGGAGTGCATTGGCATGAGGCCCGCCTTTCGACGTTCTCGACCTGAACGCCTTGAAGCATTTTGGGTGAAGATGCACACGAGTGTTGGGGTACGTTATTAGTATCCTTTGTGGGTGTGCACTGGATATATACTTGGACATGGACCTGGTGTTTGGAGGACTTGGAAAGTCTTTTGATGGCATGATCCGCGCACAAGACCACCTGGAATGCCGATCCAACCAGCAATAGCGAATGGCCCTCTGCGTGTTGCCTGTTGACTGGCAAATGCCCGGCAGAAGCAGTTCAGGATGACGGAGAACTGACTAAATGACAGAAAGAAAGCTATGACAGCGCGTCCAAAAAGGTGAGCGACTTGGTCCAGCTGCCTCACAAATCCTCACAGATCATTGTGCTGTCATCGCAGGAGACGGGCCTCTTCAGGACCCGAGCTACAAGATTCAGAACAGAGTTGCACCATGGAGCAAGCATAGCATAGAATCTAGTAGCTAGAAGTTACTAGTAACAAGGTGCACCGCCACTAGCAGCAAGGACGCTAATTACTAGTAACAAGTGCATTACTACTACTAGCAAGAAGCTACTAGTCACATCTAGTAACAAGTGCATTCCTGTATAGATTGCTCAACTTGACTGCAATCTACATTAGAATTTGCGTTGAAAACACGCTCTCACTCACGTCCTGAAGCACATAACATCGAGGCCCCAGTGTCTTCATGCAAAGCAAAATGGGGAAAACTGAAGTCCACAACTATATATATCTACATGTTTTTGGCATGGACTGAGTGTAGCAGTGTAGCACTTCAGTCCGTGTTCCTGCCCTGCATCTGTGGCCCTGATGCAAGGTTGTTTGACTGCACGATGCCATTTCTATATAATTGCAGCTCATTTCTCAAAAATCTTCGGGTAGCATCCGAAAGCCTCCACCGTCTGGTGGGGTGTTGCACAAATGAGGCCCTCTCAAGGGGCGCCCAGGCTGGGGCATTTCATCCGGTTTGGATATGAGCCACCATGCAGGGACTTGGTTGGTCGTGCGAAGGTGCCATGTTGTTTGGGAGGCCTCCATCCTTCGTCGCTTCTTCTGCGGGAGTGCCACATCTCATGCCCAGGCTGGTCCGTGGAAAGTTGGAAGCCAGACTTCTTTAGGGGGGATTGTGATGCATTGCACTCATTTTGGCCTGTGAATGGCTGAAGATCAGGTGTGCAGTGCAGATGCCAAAGGCATCGTGTCCACCTTCGACGCGTGCGGTGTCGCCACCGATGCAGAATCGAGGCAGTGGGAATCGATGGGAAAGCTGTCAGAGAGGAACACAAGGGAACACTATAGGCCGCTGAGGCCCGTAAATATTTGCAACATCGACCACCCTAGGACCTAGAGCAGGCCTAACGGAGCCTAAAACGTCACCTTTGGAATCGACATGAACCGAGCAAAGTTGACTAAAGATACTAAAGTTACTAAGTTACTAAAGGAATGAGACAATCCTCCTGCCCCATGCACTTATATCTGGCCATACCTGGCCATGTCTCTCTAAATATGTATAATCGGCTGCTGCCATCAAAATCCACACGAAAGCCGACAGACATTGACCACCTAGAGGATCTAGCGCAGGCCTAACAGGGCCTATATACTGTAACGTCACCTTTGGAAACCGATGCCAAGAATGAGACAATCAAGCATTCCCGCGAACGGGTCTCTGACGCCTCCCCCGGTCCTAACCAGAGTAGGGGGCAATAGGTAGCCAGGTAGTCGCTTGAAGGGCTGGTTCTTCAAGGAAGCTCCCACCTTCCGAGTAATAGGTTACTTGAAGAATCGCTTGCGCTTGAATTGGTTCCTAGTAGCAAACATTCCTCCTAATAAGGCCAGGAGCCCCTAGTAGCGTCTTTGCTCCTAAGTAGCGATGCCAGGAGCCCCTAGTGGCTTCTAGCCCCTAGAGATTTGGTTCCGCTTTTTTAACTTCACTGAGTGCTGCCTGCTTTGACAGTTGGAAGCCTTGTGTGGCATGCAGGACCTCCCAGAACACCACCTCAAGAGGCGCATGCAGAAGTGCGCTATAGGTGGGGCGCCCTTAACAAATGCTTTTGGTGACCTGTTCCTCTGCATCGCGGTTGAAAGGTGCACAAGTTTCAGCATGCTTCCTGCAAATTCATTTGGGACTCACACCCTGCCGACAGAACGTCAGGTCATCCCCAAGTGCGCCGATTACCCCGGGTGCAAGAGTTGCTTGGACTCCAGTTTCTTGGGCCGTCACTGGGGTGATGTCCAGCCCAGCGCCCAACTACCGCTCGCTCTCTCTCCGTCCAAAATGGACGATCAGAATCTGCCCTAAAGATGCTCAAGGGCATGCTGAGGGATCCTGTGGCATCATGCTTGATTAGCTTGGTTCCTGTATTGTTTGATTAGCAACCTAGTAGCAAAGGCCTCCAACCTAGTAGCGATGGCCTCCAACCTAATACCAATGGCCTCCAACCATCTAGCTTGGTTCCTGTGTTTTGTTTATATTTGCTTTTCTTCTGGTCACTCTGTACTAGTAGCATGGTACAGCATCCTAGGCCCGGCATTCTTCTGTAGAAGGGATCAAGGGCTACGGCAAAGGCGCTTGTACCATTTTGTAATTTTGTATCCTCAAACGATGTAAGAACATCAAGGAGAGAGACACCTACAAACAACTTACAACTTACAGTAGTTCGTTGAAAGAATGCTTTCCCTGCTCCATGCCAGGTTTGCTTTACGTCTTGAACGTCGCTGCCAGTAAACTTCACAATAATGCTTTTTAGAAAGAATAACTATATCACACTGCTAGTCATATGAATCATATGCCATCCATGCATGCAATTGATCTGTGCTTTCCTTCTTCCATCACTGCCTGACTGCCTGGCAGCCTCGGGAGGCTCGGCACGTCTGGGTGTTCTCGAAGAGGCGCGGCACGTCAGGAACGATCAAGATGTTCGGGGGTTAAGGATAGTGTGGAAAGGTTCATGACGAATGTTGACCATTATCGGTAGGTGCGAGAAGAAGCAACCCAATAGTAGTCATTGATATTTTTAAAATCCTTCAGCCACAAAGAAGTCTTCAGTTCCTTCTGAGGCTCCTGGAGGTCGTGACAATTCAGCTCCTCCACCAAATCACGAACAATCATTTCAACGTGACTCTGCTTCAAACTACTTGTGCCTGTTTGGCTCATACGCTAATGCCGGGTTTAGTCAAGTCACATGAGTAGCTTGATTGGCTTTTGCTGATTTCCGGGCTTGTGCGTGCTGTTTGAGTTGGGAGGAGAAGTAGCTACACCTAATTATGTTCCAAGATGCAACATCACGTTGTGTTTGCGCATGTCATGACAGACTGCATGCATGGCCAAGGCCGTTCAAGTTCGCACTTGATTCCCGGAAAGGCCAGGCATAAAGTGGGCTGAGACATCAGACTTCTGGAGTTTAAAGTAATAGCTATATGTATATATATGCTGACTGTTACGAAGTAATAGTGTCTTTTAGGAATGCAGCAACAACGTACGTAAGTATGAGGAAGTGGTTGTGCATCGGTGGCCATTTTGGCTTCAAGTGGCCCCCCCCCACACACTTTTGAAGTGCCATGGAGATGAATGGCGCCCCGATGGAGTGGGGAGAAGTGGCGGGGGGGCCAGTGGTGGTCATCGAGGACACGATGGACGATGACGAGGGATGGACGATGACGAGGGCGAGGGCGAGGAGAGTCTGACGGACCTTGCCACTAGAGTTCGTGAGCTGGAGTCTATGAGGGTGGAAGATTTCCAGCCCGAAACTCCAACAGAGAAATTTAGTCCCACGGAGCTGCAAGAGGATGACAACCAAGTGGTGAGCCCCTTGATGAAACTCAAGGAGCTAGTAGAGAAGCAGAGCACAGTGACATCCTCGGCAGGTGAGTCCTCGATGGCGATGGAAGTTGACAAGGACGAGTACAACATGATCGGCAGCGAAAGCCAGAAGCTGAAGCAGTATATCCCAGACACCTTGAGGATGCCCTGGGAGAAAGGATTTGCAGGAGTGGTGCTGACTGGGAAGGCTGGTGTCCTCCCCCTCGAGTGTTTGCAAGAAGGTGGACGCAGTGCAAAAGCCATGGACATTGAGGTCGACGTTGAGGTGCAGCAGAAGGAGGAAGTCAAGTTGAAGACTAGCCACACCACCAAAGACAGTGTGAGGCTTCCTTGGGCTCGAGCCCAGGCAGAAGAACGTGACAAAGTCCTTGCAGGTTGGATGGTGGTGATTGCTGAAGCAGGAAAGCACTCGAGGGGGAGGGAGATGATAGAGAATAGTGGTGAAGAAGTCCTGGACGACATCTTCGCCAAGAAGAAGAACGGAACGCTCCAGGTGAGGTTGAGTGCCATGCTGCTGTATGTCAGGTGGGCCAGAGCAAAAGGGTTGCGCCCGTTCCCGCTGGATGAAGAAGTGTGCTACAACTACGTAGACCAACTCAGACGAGATGGTGCACCGGCGACGCGGGCAAGCAGCTTCAGGAGCGCCTTGGCATTCTGCAAGGGCACGATCCAGTTGCTTGGAGTGGACGAGGTTTTGCAGAGCACGAGAATCACTGGCTCGGCGCACAGAAGCTTCCTGACGAAGAGGGTGTTGAAGCAGCGAGATGCCCTGACAGTGCACCAAGTGAACATCCTGGAACGTGTAGTGTGTGAGGACACCTTCCCTGTACAGGATCGCATTTTCGCAGGACATTGTTTGGTGTGCATCTATGGTAGGCTGCGCTTCGGAGACAGCCAGGGAATCCAGCACGAGCCGGTTGTGGAAGGTGGGTATTTCGAAGGTGGAACATCCACCCACAAGACAGACTCCATTGCCGGCAGGGCGTGCAGGGTTCTGCCAGTGGTAGCCCCTGAGCTGGGCGTGACAGGTGTGGCTTGGGCTGCTATGTTGCTGAAGCT